GGGTTGGAGGCACTTGGGAGAGGCTACGCTGTGAATCAAGGCTGGCTGCCACCAGTGCTGGTCTGGGGGCACCTTGGTGAGCACCACATTGTGCACTGAGGCCAACTGCCACTTGTTCCAGGTTTGTGGCTGCTTATTGAAGCTACGTTCCAAGACAACACTGGCTGCAGCTTGTGCCAGGCTTGGTGCCATGTGATGGGAGTTAGAATGCAAGTTGAGACTGGTCTCTGCTTGTACCAATCTTGGGACTGCTCAGCTCAAGAGGCACAGAACATCCTGAGGCCAGCTGCTGCTGGTTTGGGGTTTGTGATCATTGAGAAGATTTAGGAAAGCCCTCAGCATGAGCTGATGCAGGCCACCTGTGTGCAAAAGCAGCACAAGTGGCCTGCTGTCCAGGGTTCTTGTACTTGCTTCTTGAAAGAGAACTATCATTGCCCAACGCACGTGTCTCCTATAAATGGGGTTGACAAATGTATGCTTCTCTTCACACTTCTGTCTTTTGCATCCAGTGAAAGGAACGAATGTGTTTGTAGATACGTAGTGTGTGTGTAGAAGTTGGGCTGTTTTAAAGGCAGGATTGGAGGCTCCGAAGCAGCAGTTGCTGGAGCATAGAATTCATTTTCGTCTCTGCAGATGGGAGATGCTGAGCGGTGACTTCTTACTGGCATAGCCCCTCCCTCCCCGCAGGCTGCCCTTTTGCAAACAGGGCAACATGGAGTGTTCTGGAAGGATTCCATAGTCAAACAGATCTCAGATCTGACTCACTTGCCATGAGGCCTTTTTAAAAAGTATATCTTTTTGTGTTAGCCGTCTCATTTTGATACGGCCCAGCAGCCCTGGAAAGGATTGCTAGTTACTAGTCTCTGGCTGGTGAGGTGGTTGGGGAGCCCTCACCGAGGGGTTTCGGGAGACCCTGTTCTAGCCTTGGCTCTCAATTTAAATTCCTGGGTGGCTCCGGGCTCGTCTACTTCTCTCTCACCTGAGTTCTGCTGTCTTCAGAAACATCTTTCACCTCGTCTATGGGAACGTAGGTCAGCCGGGGTAGGAAGGGCTCGTGACACTGAAAAAACCCATTTCTCCCTCAACATTCAGTCATGTGTCTGTCAGCCAGTCTCCACTGGCTGAACAGGGGCCTGAGGACAGACGCTAGGTCCCCAAGGTGCCTGGGCTTACCTGTCCCAGTGCGAGCTGTGAGGGGCTGGCCCCTGTAGTGGACTGACTGGGGGAGAGAAGGGGCTTGGGGGCAGCGCTGTGCCTGGAAGGCATACGGAGACTTGTCTCAACACTTCATTTAGGTAGCGAGCAGCTCTTTTTTTGGGGGGTGGGGTGGTAGGAGATGCTGATGGAAATTACAGGAAAGGAAGGCTCCCCTTTCCCCACTCCTTACACAGTTTAGCACCTGGACTGAGTCCATGAGAGCCTGGGTCAGGGAAAGAGGCCTCCAAGTGCCCTTCTGACGGTGGAAGGGGGCTGCCCTGCCCCCTCATAGGTATTTGCAGCTCCCTAATATCTCTTGCTCTGAAAAAGGCAACTGGGGGGCCCTTCATCTTCCCAGACGTGGGTTCTGCCCTCCCACCTTCTCATCCTCCTGCTGAGACCAGCCCCGTCTGTGATTTTTTTAACAGCCAGAGTCACAACAGTGTTCAGCACTGAGCGCTGGGCCCGCAGCAGAGAGCAGATGGCAGGGATGGGGGGTTGGGGGGGTGCCTCTCCCATGGGATCTTCCACTGTGTGTGCATGCGGGCATGTGTTTGTGCACGCACACAGGGGAATCAGATGGTAACTCCATGTACCAGGGCTCATTCCTATACTGTAACCAGCCTCCCCACATAGCTTTTAATAGAAGCACTGCAGTTTAGGACCAGAGCAGTTCCCACCCTGAGCGTTTGGGGAAACTGACTAAACTTGGGTTTGAGGATGAAGGCTGGTGAAGGGATTTGTCCGGAGTCACAGCAGAAACCGCTGGCAGAGCCAGACTTGATATCTGGCCTCTTGACTCCCGGCTTGGTTCCTGTTCCCCCTCTGCCCTGGTTATTTTTTATTTTATTTTTTATTGTTCCGGCTGCAGGGAGAGCCCTCAGGTGCAGCAGCTCCTCCGCGGCTGCTAGGTGGCACCAGAACGCCTCTGAACAACAGGCTGCCAGTCTGGCCTCCTGCCTGAAAATGCCCGAATCCTGAAGCTTGACAGGCGGCACTCCTCCTGTGCCCTGCAAAGGCCTCCCTGCTCGGGGCATCGTCCCAGCCCACGGCCCCACCTTCTGAGTCTGTGCAGTCCTGCCTGGGCCCCACCCCGCCTCGGGTTCTCTGGTGACCTGGGAGAGCTCACTCCTGTGGGACTGATTTCTCCTGGGGGCTCTGTGTGCAGAATGGGAAGTCCTGGCTGGGTGATCAGCTCAGGGGAGATCGGAGTTTGGGTTCCCTGTAGGTGCTATCTTCCTCACTTACTGAATGAAGCCTTTGTCTGGGTGAGCAACCCAGCTGAACAGGGCGTGGGCTCTCCCCAGGTCACCTTGCTAGTCTGTGACAGGGATGGGATGGAGTTCAGGCACGCTAAGTACTGTGCTACCTTGTCTCTCAAGAGGCTGTAGAGAAGACCAGACGCTCTGTCGTCTGGTCCCTCCAGCCCTGTCTTGCATTTGTATAGCTCTGTGGCTAAGAGTATATATGGGCTTTGGTTTCAGACTTCGGGAATTAGAATGCCACCTTGCCACTTGTCAATTGCAGGACTGTGCCAAATGCATGTAACTGCTCTCTGCCTCGGTTTCTCCTCTTGTAAGTGGGATGTGGTAGATTACAAATGGTCTCAAATGTCTTTGTAACTCCTCTCATTAAACGTGGGTTATATTTTCCCACCCCCTTGCGGCTGGGCTGGCCTTGTGACTGGTTTCAGAGAGAATGTGGTGGCAATGACAACGTGTGAGTTCTGAGCCTCGGTGTCAAGAGACTTCGCAGCTTCTGTTCTTATTCCCTGAACGTTGCTGCCATGTGACAGGGCTGGCCAACGTCCTTCAGGGTGAGAGACCACAGGGAGCGAGGTCCCAGCCACCCAGCCCAAATTGCCCACTCGCAGCGCTGTGAGCACATGCCTAATTGTGTTAATCTGCTAACTTCGGGGGTGGTTCCTAGGTCGCCAAAGTGCAATGGACGAGGGGAGGATAACAGTGCTTGCCTTGCAGGGTTGCTGCGAGCTTACTGACGATGTGTGCTCCGGCCAGTACCAGCCCGCAGCGGCCGAGGCAGTTGTTACTGCTGATGTCCTCCTGGGCACTTGCCCCTGCTCACCGGGTTCCAGTCACATGGGCCTCTTCTTTTCCTTAACGCTCTTTGATGTAATCTTCATTGTATTTTTTCCTATTACTAGTCCCCTTATACCATCCTCCTGCCAGCAGTCACCATGCTGTTTGTCCACGTTCACGAGTCCTTTTTCCTTTTTGCTCAATCCCACCGCTTTTTAACCTCCCTCCCCGCCCCCAGCTGTGATCCAGCTCTTCATCCGTGGGTCCGTGTCTCCATCTGTGTCACCGTTTTGCTTGTCAGTTCAGTTTGTTCATCAGATTCCACATATGAGTGAGATCATACGGTATTTGTCTTTTTCTGACTGGCTGATTTCACTTAGCATAACGTTCTCCAGGTCCATGCATACTGTTGCAAAGGGCAAAATTTTCTTTTTTTGTGTGGCCGAGTAGTGTTCCGTTGTGTAATGTCCCCTAGTTGTTTTATCCGCTCATCTCATCTACTGATGGACACTGGGGCTGCTTCCACATCTTGGCGATTGTAAATAACATGACTATGGACGTAGGGGTGCTCGTGGTTTTTCAAGTTAGTGCTTTGGGTCCCTTCAGATATGTTCCCAGAAGTGCGATAGCTGGGTTGAAAGGCAAATCCATGTTAAATTTTTTGAGGTATCTCCTTACTGCTTTCCGCAGTGGCTGCACCAGTCTGCATTCCCACCAGCAGTGCAAAAGGGTTCCCCTTTCTCCACATCCTCATCAGTCCTTGTTGTTTTGTTGGTTTTTTGATGATAGCCTTTCTGACAGGTGTGAGATGACATGTCACTGTGGTTTTAATTTGCATTTCTCTGATGATTAGTGATGTTGGGTATCTTTTCCTATTTCTTTTGGCCATCTGTATGTCCACTTTGAATAAGTGTATATTCAGGCAGGTCCTTTGCCCATTTTTTAATAGGGTTGTTTTTTTTATGTGTTGAGTTTTGTAAGTTCTTTATAAATTTTGGATATTAATCCATTATCAGGTGTATCGGTGAGTATGTTCTCCCATTTTGTGGGTTGTCTTTTTATTTTGTTGATGATTTCCTTTGATGTGCAAAAACTTTTAGTTTGATGTAGTCCTATTTATTTTTTTTTGTTTCCCTTGCCTGGGGAGATGTATCTACCAATTATTTTCTTTTTCAGGGCATTCATACTTAATTCTCTGCTGGTTAAGTAAGGTCTCAGCTGAAATTTTGGATTACCCTGGGAGCCACCCCCTGCCCCCACTCCCTCTGTCTCCCCTTCTAGACTGTAACCCCCTTGAGGGCAGGATGAGCCTGTTCGTGTTCCCTCTTTTAAACGTGCTGCCTACCCCAGTGCTGCGGACAGCAGGCACCTGCTGGGTAGTCGCTGCATGAGTGAATGAAAAGGGGCTCCTGATCCATAAAGGTTGGAGGTTGGGGTCAGGCTTCCCGGAAGGGGCGCGGGCAGCCAGGTTAGGGTTTCAGAGAGAGGGGCCTGTGTGTGTTGCTTCTTGTTCCTGTAGCTGTTCTGGTTTGTGTTGCACTCTTCTGTGGGGTCAGATATGTTCCCGATACTCTGCGCCCCACCAGGCTGTGAGCTTCTGTAAGACAGGGAAGAGTGCCCAGCAGTCCCTAGCATGCACGGCACAGGCATGTAGCAGGGGCCTACCAGAAATTCAGGGGGTAGATAAATGAATGGATGAATGAGCAGATAAATGAATGCAAAGAAGGACTGGATGGAGGACAGACTACTCCTAACTGCCAGCAATTCTGAAAAAAACATTTGTTTATTTCTATCAACAAAGGATGACACATTTTCCAGCCACTCAGTAAAAGAACATAAAAGTATAAAAATGTATTAAGTGCAATCATTAACGTGATGTTGTAGGTGAATAGTTACGCTGCACGGTCACAGCTGATTTGGTTTACAAAGGGCAGGAGTGGGTGGCCCATTGCCCCAGCCGGCCGGGCCGGAGGAGGTTCTCAGGACGGGGGACTTGCAGCGCTGAAGCTGGGAAAATCCCGGCTAACGGGGAGGGTCGGTCATGCCCGAGACAGAGCAGCATCACAATGCCGGCTATGGTTTGGCATTTAGGTGCCAGGATCGGACACTTTCTCAACTTCTCTGTCACCTCTGTTCCTCTCAGCTCTGAAATAAAAATCCCTGTGTCATTATCGAGGGTGTGACATCTTTCAAAGCATTTTCCCCTCCCCTCCACTCCCTCCATTTTGACTGGATCCTTATGCCCAGCTTGGAGGTAGGGCAGTTCAACCCTAATTTGTAGGTGGGGCTTCCTGCTTCAAGGCTCCTGGCTCTAGGGAGTAAAGATCTAGGTCCCAGCTCGCCTGAGGCTGTGTTCTTCCCACTCCCCAGTTCTCTTCTGAAACACCCTGGCTCGTCTGGCTTTCGGGGCTGGCCGGGCAGGAATCACATGGAGTAAGGGACCCTGAGATCCAGGTTTTGGCTCAATCCCCTCTTTTGGGATAATGCATGTCATTGTATCACAGGACTCCCCTGAATACCCACCAGCTGGCCAGTGCTGCTGGTGTCATTGCGTGGGAGTCAGTGAAAGAGATCCGGCGTTTTGGCTCCAGGATGGCGCTCCAAACAGCTGCTCCAGTTCAGGTTTGTCTGCAGGTGGTCGGAGGACCAGCTCAGTCTGCCGTTTGCCAAGTTGGTTGTGGAGATCTGTTCGGGCATCGTTGCTGAGAAGTTACTCAAGCCAGGTGGCTGACTCTTGGGGCTCAAAGGCTCATCCTGTTCATTCCTAACCCAAAGGGATTTTTGCCTGACGTAGAGGCACCGCCTGAAGGAGAAAGGGTTTAGTAGCTCTCCCTGACTTGCCTCGAAAGACTAGGGACAGGCTCTGCTTGACCATTGAAGACCTGGCTTCTCTGGAGAGCCTGTTAGAATTCTACCTTCCATTCTTTTATTTCAACACTGTTTTGAGTGGTTACGTTTTTGGAATTCACTACCTCTAGGGTTAAGAAGCCTAGGAAGTCCTTCTTTTCCCCGTGAATGAGACTCCCTGTGAGTCTCCCCAGCTGAATGGAAGCATGTGCCTGTGTCTTCCCGATGGTGCTCCTCTGGGCTGGGCTTAATGAATAGGGTTTGACATGGACCCTACCCTTAGAGGTGTCATTGTTTTGGCTCCGCATTGCTCCTATCCTGTGGGTCTAATTCTGGGTGCAGGTGTGCTAAGATCTACTGGCCTCAGCGTTTTCCTGTTCCGAGAGCTGGATGAGCAGGAGTCCTTTTCTTTAAAAATAAATACAATAAATAGCTTTACAAAAAGTGCTGCCCTCTCGGTGGATTCCCGAGGCTGTGGGACATAGGGTCTGTCAGCTGAAGCCTGGGTCCTGAGACACACATTTCCCTTAGTGTGCGGAAGCACACCAAGAAAGAACAGAGGTTCTTTCTGCCTCTTACACCACCGGCTGTGGCCCTACAGCCCCCTGACGTGTTTGTGGCACTGAGTTCAGGTCCAGTTTTAATCTTCAGATGTGGTTTTCTTTGGCTTAGAGACAAAAAGCGATCCAACTCTTTGTGGTTGGAAGAGGTGTTAACCCCGACACGGCCATCTCTGCAGCACCAACAAGACGAAACCCTAGTGTGTATGGGTCTCTTCTGAAATTGAAACTCTGGTGCCCACGGGGTGAGGTGATGGTTTGACAAGCCCAGAAACTTCCATAGCCTGAGAGATCGCCTGGATGGATGTATTTCTTGGAATCTTGGAAACTTACGCATTGGGCCTGTTAGGTTGTACTTTTCTAGCAGATCAGAAGACCGTCTCTGAGCTAAAACATTTGGGAACTCAGTGCCACAGAAACGGAGCCTCTTTAGAAAACTGTTTGCAAGATGTGCTGCCTGGCAGCAGGAGAAAACTAGAGGTTGACTGGTTTCCAGTCTTTTTTTTTGGTCAAACCCCTTGGGACCAGCACTTCTCCAAGGAAGTCAAGACTGGTGGGGATGAAAGAGTAGGACTGGCTCCTTCTGTCCTTTGTGAAGAGGAGTCGTCTTGGATCCATGGGGCCAGTGCCAGGGCGGCCTCCTCTGAGCATGCGAGGGTTTCTGCAGGCACCTCATATGGTCATCGAACTCTGGGATCGGCGATGGCTGCCCCTGCTCGAGCGCTGGTATGCACCGGTCTGTCCACTCTCGGGGGGCCCGGGGGCCATCATGCCGCCCAGAAGGAGGTGCTCTCTGGAGGAGAGATTAACTGAGGGGTCTGCTGAGCACGGGTCATCCCTCATGTGCTCTCTGCTGCTTCTCTCTCCGTGCACCCCCTGGTTCTCTTTGCACTTCTGCTTGGGGGGGCCGGAGCTCTTTGGGGTGCTGGTCCTGAAGTCCCGCTCAGGGACAGGTGGCACCGGGCGGCGGGTGGGCTGAGGCCCCCCGGGGACAGGGGCAGGCACGTGCCTGCTTCTCCAGCTCTGGATCTCCAGGTCTCTCTTGTCTGCTGGGAGTTGGTCAATTTTCTGAGCTTTGGTGATCAGGGACTTCCCGTATGTCCCTTGTAGAGATAAGAAAAAGTACCTGGTAGGAAAAAAGAAATAACCGAATCAAGCATTTCTGACTTTTGTTGACTTCTTGAATTTGAGCACTGAAAGAGATCTGTGAATCCAACTCCCCACCCAGGGCACGGTCCTTTTAATGCCGAGTTTCTGACTGATGGTTATCAAATCTGTGTCTGAGCACCTCTGGGATTTGGGAGTTCTGTGGCAACACATAATAGCTAATGCTTATTATGTACCAGAACTGGTCTAAATGCTTTAAATATCATTAATTCGTCTTTCCCAACAGTCCCATGTGGCTGGTGCTCCCCACTCCACCCCCGGGTGTTACAAACGAGGAAACAGAGGCGGTGAGGCAGTGACTTGCCCAGAGCCACTCAGTGGTCCAGCTGGGGTCTGCACCGAGCCCTCTGGACCCCTGGGTTTTCTCTTCTTTACCTTGTGCAGGGCAGTCCTTTCCCTGTCTGGGCTATTCTAACTGAGGCACATGTACATGCTTCACAATAGCAGCCCTTTGTGGAACCTAAATAGTTTCTAAATATATATTCTTCTTGAATCTGTGGGACATGAGATTTTCACAGCATTGCTGTATTTTCATGATCTGCCACATGAAGAAACTGAGGCTGCAAGAGACGAGATGGCTTTTCCCGGGTCTCCCCCTGGCTAACGCAGGGTTCCTTTCCCTGGCCCAGCGGCATGGAGCCGGTTCCGGACCTGGGACTGGGAATCTCTACGTATGCCTGGAGTGTTTTCCTGTCCCACGTTTGGGGGAAAACATAAGGTGAGAACAACTCCGTGGTTTCTGGAGAAGGCCCGCACCATCTTGTGATACTGGGCAAGCCATGTTCCTGCCCTGGGGGTCAGTTTCTTTACCTAAAAAGTAGACACCTAAGGTCTTTCCCCAAAGTAACCCTTTTCATTGAAGTTTTTATTTCTAAAGCCTTATGGCAGAGAGGCCCCCATGCTGTCCCGGCATCTGAAAGCGTTAGGCAGCCTCACAGTGGGCGGGGGGCGGTTTCTGCAGCCCCCCAAGGCTTCAGGTCAGCTCCCCCTCGTCCTCCTCTCACCGAGAGAGGCAGCACAGGCGGGCATGTTAGGGTCAGGAGAGCCCCAACTTCCTTCCTGCTACCTGGAATCTTCTCAGTTTAACACCCGCCTCCCCCCCATCCCCCCAGGCACCACTTTTCTTCTCTATCTGTTCATTCCAGAGATCCCTCCCAAGTCCCAACCATGGGCCAGGCCCCCCCACCCCCTCCCCAGCCCCCAGGGTTAAGCTGAGAACAGGGCGCACCGGGTGCTTGCTCTCCTGAGGCACCTGAGCAGCGTTGGAAGCAGAGGAGCAGAGAGAGAGAGTGTCAGACCCCGGATCTGGTGTGAGACACCTTCGTCCAGGGACACACACTCCAGCTGAGGACCAAGGAATGCACAGGGGGCAGCCTGACAAAGGAAGTGAGACCGAGTCCGCTCACAGTGGTTGGAGTGAGGACAAGAGTGGGGACATGACACAGCAGGGGTCGTCGGGGCCAGAGCAGGCAGGGGCCGAGAGCCACGTTTTGGTCTTTGTGCTGTTTTGTAAGGGCCTTGGGGAGCCCTGGGAGGATTGCAAGCATATGACATGGCCTCGCTTTGACACAGTGATAATGGGTCGGAGTAAATAAGAGACTTTTGAAGTGATTTGGGATGAAGGGATTATAACCTATCCACGGTGGCGGCGGGAGGAGTGGAAATAGCACTAGAGCTGAGAAATACATAGCAGATAGAATTGGCCGTTCTTGGTGATGGGCTAGACATGGGCACGAGGTGAGCGGGGGTGTCAAGCATGCCTCCCGGGGCTGCCTGGGTCCCGACTGGGCAGCATTTGATGGAGGAAACTCTGGGACAGACCCAGGTTTCCTGGAAGGTGCCGGTGCTAGATAATAGGAGGATTATGACTTCAACTACAGACGTCTCTCACTTTCTTCGAACTCACATCCCGAGTGGAGGCGGTGCAGGGGTAGCTAGAGAGAGGTGTCTGGAATTCAGAGGTGAGATCTGGGCTGGGAATTTATGCTGGAGATCCACCTGTAAAAAATATTTATCTTCACAAGAGTGGTCGCCATGTCTGTGGAGAGGCTGTAAAGGCAGAAGACAGAGGAACCTAAGGCCAGAGCTTGACGATACGCTGTGTCAAGGGTGTGAAGCGGGAGAAAAACCCAGCGTGTCGGGGAGAGTGTCTGAGGCCTGGCATCTGGTACCGTAGCTAATGAAGATGCTCATTATGTCTTAAAGTTCACGTGTTAGCTTCTTTTGTTTTTATCTGCCCAGCGATTTACATGTCCTTAGCTGGAGAGAAGTCTAGGTCTTTTATTTCTGAATTAATTAGACCAGGATCAGTGAGGTCATGGTCAGTGGGCCAATTATCACAAGGTTGGTGAGTGAAATCTACCTCCAGTATGACAAATACAGCGTATAACCTTAAGTGAACAAATAGGGCTATAACAAACATTCATTTTCCCAAGGTTACAAGTCAACAGTCCTTGGGACTATTAAAAGAATCCTTTCTTAGAAGAAACCTCTTTGCTTTACTTGGTAAACAGAATTAAACAGAAATACAACTTTATGATAACGTAGAATAAGCAAAGATTTAACTTATGTGCTATGGTAACCGACAAGTAAATATTTGCTCACTTTTCCTTAATGTGTCTGTTTAGCAAGCTGGAATGTTCAGTGCTTGTCTTTCCAAAGCACATGTTAACAGCCTTTCCTACTTTGCAGGGCTTCTCGTTAAGCTGGTCGCTTTTGACTCCGAGTATGTTTTCTAGCCAAGGGTGAGACAAAGAATATGGGGCTGATAATTTTCTATTTCTATATGCCCGCCACCCCCCCACCCCCCAAAAAAAGCACAGAGCAAAGAGATCAGTCCTTGGTCAGTTTTGACCACAGCTGTGTTTAACCCTGAAAGTGTGGACAAAAGTATTTTAGCCACTTATTTGACACTCTTTTCCGGCGAGGGCATGGTCCTCACCGTCTCTCCCGGGGTCTGGCTCCCGAGGGGGCGGGCTGAACAAGGGGTGTGGTGGGAGATGTGTTGTGCTTGTTCTTAATCGCTCCCCGCTCTTGGCTCTCAGGGCCCTCTGTGAACACTCCTCTGCTGGACTCGTGGGTTATAGTCAAACTGAGGTCTAGTCCGTTCACTGCACTGCAGGCTTCTTGAGAGCAAGGATCCCATTTTTCTGTTCCTTTAGCTTCCTTTGCTCATTTGTCTCTGGGTGCAGCCACTGCGACAGGAACTGTGCTACGCGTTGGTTGTGTTGCTATAAGGAGGATGCCTTCTGTCTGGGCGTTAATGGGCAGACAGAGACAAACAGGCAATGTATGTGAAGGGCAGTGACAGATACACCCAGGTCATGGGACAGGCAAGAAAGGGGAGCCTGTTTCAGCCTGAGGAAAGGTAGGCGAAGTCAGGGAAGGCTTGGAATGGCGCTACCTGAAAGAATGTCCAAGGGGGAGGAGCTAGTGCAGAGGGTGTTCTGCAGAAGGAACCCAGGAGCTGCGGTAGGAAGGTGAGAGGGCGGGGCGTTTAGGGAAGTACAAGCAGCATTGGGGGGTGCGGCTCGAGGGTCGAGGCAGGAGTGGGGGGAGCTGAGGCGGCAGAGACCGCACACTCAGTGCACATTCAGACTCAGCGACACAGGTGTTGGCATGTTGGTGTCTTCGGCCTGCAGCCTTGCACAGAGGTCAAGGTTTTGAGGGGGCTTCGGGAGAGGACATGGAGGCCAACCTAGGTTAAACCGGCCGCCCCATTTATTAAAGGAAGCCCTGTCCGCTGAGTTTGGATTAGCACATGTTCTGCACAGCATCGCCATGGCCTGTTTTCCCTACAGCTTATAATGAGAAAGGGGCTGAACGTGGATGTTCAGAGTGGTGAGATCGCGAGGATGGAGGGAGGGGCCAGGTTTCGTCTGTGGGTACCACAGACAGAGTTCACCGGCTGCTTGACTGGACAGTGTGGACGGAGACTGGAACCCTGGCCACCAAGTTGGGAGAATCCAGCTCCCACTGGGATTTGTGGTGAGCCTGTGGGCACATTTCTGGTCCCTCCTGGCACCTGAGTTGTGCCCTGAGCGAGTGGGACTAGAACCACCGCTCCCCCTGATTTCTAGGTGATAGAAGCAGCAGAATGAAGAGCTGGATACAGTGTTTGATAAGAGCAATCAAGCTCCAAGGAGACACAAGGCGTTGTTGCTAGTTTCCTGGAAAAGGCCAATGCAGGGGGTTTAGGCTGAAAACGTTAGAACTAGTCCCTGGGCATGAATGATTTATTTGGCTAATACATCTTGTGCCTGTGTTAATGAATTTGAGTAATATTAAAAAGTTGGCTGTTGCATGCAAAATTTGAATTTGTGGGAGAAATCTAAAGCTTGAGAATGCTCAGCGTGATCACTCCTGGGGGCAATGATGGGGGGAAGGTGCCCAGGTCGGTCTTTCTCCCCACATATGTGCTTCAGTTGGTTGCCGGCCTGTCTCTACAGGCCTTTGTATGGGGCTCTGGGGCTCACAGAGAACTGCTGAGCTTTTCAAAAACGATCCCTTACACACAGCAAAGTTTGTAAGGCTGGAGGATGGGAATGACCACTCTCATTTTACATACGTCACATCTGAGGCCATGCCGGATTTGGTGGCTTGGCTACTCCATGGCTGACCTGGGACCAGAGTCCATGCTATTTGCCTCCAAGTTCATTGTTCTTTCTGTCCCGGGGGCCTATCTTTGAAAACAGTAGCCTCAGGGATCCCCGCCAGGAGTCAAACTCCTGACTCCGGGTTATGAGAAGGGCTTATTGAGGGGAGCTGGGGGGGGCGGTGTAGGAAGGAAAGAGGCCTCCTGCTCAAACCTTGGGAGAAGAGCCATGGCCGGTGTGAGGAAGCTGACGAGGTAGAAGGTGGGGTCCGAGAGCTGGCCTTCCATCACGCCGTAGGGGTTGGCGGGGCTGTTGCAGGTGACGCAGGTGGCGTTGTACACTAGGGACACCACAAAGTACATCAGGAAGCTGCCGGCGAGCACCAGCGCGTGGATGACGGTCTGCGGACGAGAAGACGTGAACGCTGTTGAAGCAGACCCTGGATGGGCAGGCAGCGCACTCACTTCCTGACTTTACGCTTTCCTGGGTGGGGGGATGCAGCACACACCCCACGAGCACCCCTCGATCTCTGTCTCAGCCTTGGCTTGGGTGATAATTTCCAAGCCATCCTTGGGTGTTTAACCACTCTTCTGTGTTTCTCTGCATGGACTGTTTTTTTGGGTGTTAGTACATAAAATATTTTGCATAGCTTTTCCCCTCTTCAATATTATGTGTGTGGGACAAATCCCTTTGTTCTCCAAGGTCAGTGATGTCGTCTGATCGTATTTTTTCCTGCCTGCTTTGCGCTGCTTTCTCTCCCCATTCTCATCCTCTCTTAAAGTGATCGACTATTTTTAATAATTTTATTTCCCCCTTGGCTAGTTTGAAAGTTACGTACTCCATTTCGATTCTTTCAGTGATTACTCGGTAAATAGTAATAGGCAATTTTAACTTACCGTGGTCTACGGTTTAGAACTCCTTTCTCTCTTCCTGCATTCCACACGGGCGTTGGAGGCCTTGCTCCGTTCACCTCCCTGCCAGTTTATCTTATTGCACCTGCTGGCTATCTCAACTGTATCATTTTTAAAGCACACATGTCACTCTAGTGTGGCCAATATTTATTAAAATTCAGTTATGTCTCCTACTCTGTATGCCTCAATTCCTCCTTGAATCTTGGACCTCCCGTCAGCGATTTCTCCCTTCCTGATTTAAGGGCACCCTTCAGAACGGCCTCCGGTGGGAGTCTGCTGGTGATCCCTTCCTTAGGCTTTATTTTACTCTCATTCTTGATGGATACAGTGTTTCTGTTGGCAGTTATTTTCGTTCAGCCTATTTAAGATGGCACTCCAGTGTCTTTTGGCTTCCATGGTTGCTACCGAGAAATTAGTAACTCTTTATTTTTTATTGTTGCTCAAGTTCTGTTGTCTCCTTTTTCACCCCCCGCCGCCCCCCTACCCAGAAGTTGCTCACTCTTCATCTGTTGTTCTTTAGGACATCTGTCACTTAAAACCTGGCCTGCTTTTATGATTTTTATTGTGTTCTATAGTTTCCTTTTGATAGAATATGTGTGGATTTCTTTTTATCTTGTTTGGGCTTTACTGACTTTCTTGAAACTGTGGGTTGATGTATTTCATCACTTCTGCAAAACTCTCAAGTCACTACCCTTTAAAATATTCCCACAGTCTCCTTTTCTCTCTCCTTTCTTTCTGAGAGTTTAATTAAATGTATGTGAGACCTGTTAAGATACCACAAATTGCATTTTCAATTTCAGTGATGATTTTTCAACTTCAGGTGTTCTACCTGTTTCCTAGGTTGGCTCAGTTCCTAGTGTTAAAGTTACACCTTTGTCTCTTGCTTCTGATAAAACTGTCACTCCAAATACTTGTCATTGTCATTTTTTTAGCTTGTTTTCTTGAGCTCAGGCCTGAGACCCAGCAGAAAACTGGGGCTCGCCCCAGAGGAGCCAGACTCTCCACCTCCTGGCCCCCCAAAAGCCCGCCGCCTGCACCTGTCCCATACCTTCCACTTGTGTTGCGGCCTCTTCCGGGGCTGGTGGTCCTTGGAGACATTCATCCTGTACTTAATCATGGCTCTGCCTTTTCGGTTTTATCACTTTGTTCTACTTGCCATGGGCACGAGTTAGAGCACAGGGGGTGTGTCAAACGGGAGCTCTCGGATCCCGGAGTTCCCTTGGGTGGCTCTTCCCAGCCATCGCTCAGCATGGCAGGGCCTGGGCTGGCCTGTGACAGTGGAGGTGGGGGCGGGAGCGGGGTGGGGGGGAGTTCCACTGTGCAACGCAGGGAACACACTGTGCCCACTGGGGGCAGTTTAAAAAATTTTTAATACGCGTGTTTTCAGGAAGAGGCACTTCAGTTTGGCTAAGGACCAATCTTTCTGTACAATGGTCTCTCACACTATTAGCAAGGCAGTTAAAAACTCAGGAGTCAGACTGCCAGAGTTCAAGCACGCTTCTCTCTTGAACTTGCTTGGGGCAAGTTTTTTTAAACTTCATTGTACCTACTTCTGTATCTGTAAAGCGGGAATATAAAAACCACCTAACACAGGCATGCATTGCAAAATGGTGATCACAGTAAATTTAAGTTAACATCTATCACCTGGCAACATGTGCATGTGAAGTGATTACACGGTATACTTTAAACCTACAGAGAGCTGTGTGCCTGTTAAATCTCAAAACAAAAGCCGACCGACCACCTTCCCAAAGGGCTCTGGGAAGTTAAATGAGATAATACATTTAAAAAATTGTGTAGCTAGGTACCTGACATGCAATTTTCATGCCTTTGTTTTTATAATTATTGACTAGGAGAACTTAATGAAAAAGCTGGTGTTGCCCTTTTAGATACTAAAATGGGATATTTCAGCTTGAGATGTGGTTACATAAAGTTGGTTTTCTAATCTTTTACCCTGACATTAAGTGGGAGCACACCTCTCTACCACAGTGTGATCAGTCTGATCTCCTTGCCTCTGAAAACACTCTTCACTTTTTTTTATTAATATCAATTTTTGCAACTAATTGTCTCATGGTTTTATGTATGTTAGCTTCATCCTCCCGGCTGGCTGATGAGCACATTGAGGCCAGAAATTTTACCTTCCACACCTCCTTCATCCTTGTTTAGGACAGACACAGGGAAAAGCTCGGCATGCATGTATCGAGTGGATCAATGGTATGAAGCACAACAGATCTGAACACAGTCGCAAATTTTAAGCCAGTGAGGCACTTACCCAGGTCTTCATTTCCATTGCCTGGTGCAGGAGGATGGTGGCGAGGGAGATGGTGTTGATGGGGGTCCCAAAGGTGAAGACGTCGATGTCGGAGTCCCTGTAGGTCTGCAGAGGGGGAACGAAGGGGGACCTTCAGCTGTGCCCGTGGGCCCAAGGCCGTGTCTTTGACACAGTGATTCTAAAGCATCGGTGAAGGCAGGTGTCAAGGGTTGGGGAGGAATGGGGAGAAGACGCCCAGCTGCCACCTGTGTGGAACTGACCCACAGAGCAGATGAGATGAGGGGGGAAGTGACGGGGCTACATTGTTTAGAAACCCATTTTCACAGGGAGCCGCGATGGGCATTCCAGAACGCTTGGGGTGAATGGAGTAATTTACTGAGCACCTACTGGGCATGATGCTAATTGCTGAAGATACTTTGTGTCTGCCTTCAAGGAGTTCACAGCCTACTTGGCAGGGTTAGCAGCACAATTTAAGGGGGTAAATGCCACAGTGGAGGCGAGTACGAGGCGCACTGGGCGTAAAGAAGAGGGGCTGTGCCAGCTGAGACCGTAAGAGGAGAAGTTCATGTCTTGAAGGGCAGGGGGGAAGGCAGTTCAGCTGAAGGCCAGAACTGAGGCTGTAGAACTTTAAATAGTCCTTGAGGGTGGGTCTGCTGAGCTCACACAGGAGCAAAAGGCTCAGCAGAAGAAGCAAGCAGAGGCCAGGCCAGGGAGGGATTTGTCGGCCAGGAAATTCAAATGAAGAGTAAAATGCCTGCTTTCTGGACCCCCGTGTTGCTAACTGCAAAAGGATACGAGCCCCGAGGCTGGGTAGACACCACCGTTTACCTGGTGGCAGTTACCCCGCATTCTGGTTCTCTGTCCAGGAGAAACACACATATCCCTCACTCTCTAAATTCTCACGCTACACGGGGGAACCAGGCTGAGACGGGGCTGCTGTCCTCGCTGCATGTATTCTTGTTTTTATTTCAGTACTATAGTGTTCTGTATATCCTGCTGCCTGAATGCAAACTGAAATCAAGGGTTGTAAATTCGATTCCCTATAGTGCTCCAGTAGGAAGGAGTAAATAAGCGAAGGTGGCCAGGGATGATAGGAAAGGGAGTGGTGGGGACTATGGCAAACTGGAGAATACAGGCCCCGTCTAAGCAGGGCTGTGCTCCAACTCTGGATTTCTGCCACAAGGGAAAAATCCAATGCAATGTTAGCGTTCAGTTTTTCAAAGCCTGGCAGAGAGTGAAATGTTTGGGTAAAGCATTCTGACTTGTTGGATGCCCTAGGCTGGATGTAGTCTGCAGGCCACCTGCTCTGAACCTCCGCTCTGAAGTGTCTGGAAAGACACTACTAGTCAAGAACGTCACATAAACAGGGCCAGTCCCGCCCTGCGGTTTGTGTGGCTGGAACTATGTGACTTACCAGGTAAGGGACGAAGAAGCAGACGAGACTCTGGTAGAACGCATCCATCATGGAGATCCAGAAGGTTCGCAGGTTATAGCACTGCCGGAAAGAACACAGCGGCAGTCACCACCCCCGGAGGGGGAGGGGCCGTCGGCAGTAAGTCAGCCAGCAGCCCGTGCCGGTGAGCACACGGGGCAGGTGACCCGGGAGGGTTTGTGAGTTGGTGCAGCCATGGGGAAGATAGCATGGAGACCCCTGAAAAAATTAGGGAGAGAGCCGCCATGTGATCTGGAAATTCCACTTCTGGGTATTATATGAAGAACACAAAATTATTAATTTAAAGAGATATATGTACCCCATGATCATTGTATATACATACTTGTGTGTATACTTACACACACACTGGAATGTTCTTCAGCCAAAAAAAAAAAAATCTTGCCATTTGCAATGGCATGGATGGACCTAGAGGGTGTTATGCTAAGTGAAATGATTCAGGCACAGAAAGACAAGTCCCACATGATCTCACTTACATGTGGAATGTAAAAAGAAAAAAATGAATAACAAAAAAAACCCTCTTTAAAAAACTTGGTAAGTTTAGAGATTCTAAGGCTTTTAAATGGCTCGTTAAAGGAAGATCTGTCTCAGGCCAGGGTCACAGTTTGCCGAGAGACAGCTCAGTGGCTTTGGACACAAGCCTTCTCCTTCTGTGCCTCCCTTGGGAAAAGGGAAAGTATTCACAGTTTACGCTTTTGCTACATTAACTTCTTTTAACGTCAAGGCCTCAAGGAACACAGCAGCCGGCCAGTGCGCCTGCGGGAAGGGGGCCGTTCCGGGGCCTGGGATGTACACGGGCCCTCCCCACGTCCCCCTCGCCTGGAGCTGTGGGGCTGCTGTGTTCCCCTGTCTCTGGGTCAGGATTGGGCTTGCTTCTTTGTTTCTGGCCACAAAACGTCACCAGCTCTCAAGCACCACAGCTGGCTTTGCTGTCCTTTCCCGCAGGTGCGAGGGACTTCCTCCCAGGTGCTTTACTGTCCCTTTTCCCAGGGCTCCTCCTTTGGGGCAGCTTCCCTCTCTGGCTCCTGCATCCGACCTCCCGACCCCCTGAGCGCCTGCTCTCGGACTTCTCCAAATTGGTCAGGTGCCGCTGTGGCCCCTCTGGGTCTTTTATGAAACTGATGGCTTCCCAGGCCTCCTTTACTCTACTTCGGGGGTCCCCAACCTCCAGGCTGCAGACCAGTACTGGTCCGGGCCTGCTGGGAACTGGGCTACATGGTGGGGCGTGAGCTTGAATGTAATGCACCTGAATCATCCTGAAACCATCATTGCCCCCTCCCACCCGGGTCTTCTGCACAAACTGTCTTCCCTGATACAGGCCCCAGGTGCCAAGAAGGCTGGGGACTGCTGATCTACTGGATACCAGCAAGTTCTGGGCCACGTGTGATCTTGGGGTTTGCCCTCCCTGATGTGCGGTGGGAGCCCTCATTTATGACAAATGCGTGACCCAGCGCTGAGCGAACTGGCATTCAGTCCCAGGGGTTGTGGCGAAGGCCTGCCTTTGGGGCTGGCTTCACACCCTCAGCCCTTTCAGTGAGGGCAGTCCCATAGCGGGTGGAGTAATTGCAAAATCACTAAAAAGAAACACACTCCCTGGTCCGGTCCTTCACCCTCAACAGCAAACGAGAAACAGGCCATGAACGGGGAGCGGAGCTACTCGGTCACATGGGGGACGAGTGGCAGCGTGGTGACTGGGACACGGGGCTCCCGGCCCGCAGCCCAGTGCTCCTGCTCTGACGCCCCCCGCCCACCCGCTCCAGCCCCTCACCTCGGAGTCCTGGCCGCTCTTGTACAGCTCGGGCAGCGCCAGGAGCGTTTCCGCAGAGACGTCTTTATCGAGGATCCCGAAGACGAGAGGAGGCAGCGAGGTGAAGAAGAGATTGAAGAAGATCATCTGCCAGTAGTCGATCATGGTGGAGCCCGAGAAACCGCACAGGAACTGGTACCAGAAGAGCAGGTTGACGTAGCACTGCGGGCAGAGACGGCGTGGCCTTGAGAGCGAGGACCCTGTGCTGACAGGGGCTCAGTCTCCTCGTTCATGACGTGCAACGTCCGGTGAGGTTGGTGATAACTCAGACCCCTGGAGCAGCACTTCTGTCACCACTAAGCACTGAGCGCGTTCAGGGCCTTGCTGAGTGCATGATGGTGGTTAAGCGCACAGGTTGGGAGGCAGGGAGGGCTGGTGCTGAACGCCTGTCCTGTCCCTTCCTAGCTGTGTGGCCCTGGGCAAAGTGCTCAGCCTTTCTGAACATCATCTTGCCTCCTTTCAGGTGGGAGGAATGGTACCTCGACCACAGCACGTGACCCTGAGAGGCAGCAGGGACTGGCAGGCTGGTAAGAGAGAGGGACGGAAGAAGACGGGACTGAGGGAAGAAGATTTCATGAGGAGGTCTTTCTCTCAACACTCTAACGGTCACTCAGCTCTGGTGAGCAGGACAGTCTGCTCCCTAACTGCTGCGTTCTGTTTGCTGAAGCTCTTTCCCACGCTAGCCCTGCCCCCAAGATGGGCTGGCCGCCACTGCTGGCTCTGATCATCGTGAGTCGTGCCGTGATGTGGTTTGGTGACAACGAGCAAGGTCACATAAGCAGTGTCCTGGAGTTAGGACTAGAACTTCTCTGCTCCGTGTGGCCGAGACACAGTGGGTGAAGGGTAGTGTAAGAAATCATTCAGCAGGTTTGTGTTCAAACTAGAATTCTCATTCCCTAACTACGGGGCCAGTGTTATTCTGAAGAGGCTCTCTATTTATCATTGTAATAATAACACAAACATGTTAATACTACCATTAGTAACAACTGATCATTCATATTTGACCTTCTATTTGTGCCAAGTGTGTAATATATATTAGTGTATTATATATTAAATGTGATATACATTATAATGTGTCCCTGCAACCTTGCATGATTAATATTATTGCTAATAATACCATTATGCCTATGTGTTATCTTAATATGTTGTATCTTGATAACAACATCCCTAGCCCCACTCTGTGGGTGAGGACTCTGAGGCTCCGACTCATCAGCTACCTGCTACCCACGTGCAGAGCTAGACAGTGGCACAACGTGAGTTTTCAAAGCTCTTGCTCTCCAACCACCCCACGCCTGCTCAGTCCTGCCTCTGAGCTGTGTGGTAACAGCAAGGCTGGCTATGATTTTCCCCGCCCAGGAGCTCCATCCTTGGGCTTCTCTGCCCAGGTGGCTAGTGGGAGGCTCCCTGTCCCCACCCCACAAGGCTGTCAGCACCTGCTGCCACCATTGTCCCCATCACCTAGTTTCACCCGGAGAAATGAGGCACTTACTAGGCGAGGTGCTGTCCGAAGCACCTCCCATAGAGCAGCTCATTTATGCAAACACAAGTCCCCTTTCACATGAGGGGCCTGAGATACTGAGAGCTTAAACAAGTTACTTGGGGCCACAGTGCTGTTTGGTAGCAGAGTGGGGCTGGGACTTGAACCTGGTCTGGCTCCAGCACATATGCGCTGAGCCGCTGTACTCCCCTTACTCCCATGGGTACCTCTGAACGTGAAGTTCTTGGCACAGTGTTTAGTATACGATAGGTTCTCTATAATAGTGGTGGATGTTACCGTTGGTAATGCTTTGCTGAACAGTAGCAAGCAGTTCTGAGTATGAAGGAAATGGCACAGAAGTCACGGGTGGGGAACTGGGCGTTGGACAACTCAGCATGTGTTAAGCTCCTTGCCCCACACCTCATGCACCGGCGGCACTGAAGGGTTTCACCGAGTCCTAGTTAAAGGGATAAAACGCTCTGTGCTTTGATGTCCCTGGCTCAGTTTCCCACAGAAATGCCCTTACTGAATTATGATTTAATATTGACTTTTACTAAGGGTTGTTAGGAAAAAGACCGACCATAGACGGAGGTTAATTTTCATTTCCTACAAAAATGCCAGGGAAGGCAAGTTCCCAAAGGTTTCTGTGTGGCCTTTGTCTAAAGGTCTGCTTGACAAACTGGTCTCTGAATGTAGAGCAAAGAGAGAGTGGCCACCTCCCCACCTGCATCCCCGTCCCCCCACCCCAGAACTGGTCTGCTTGTTTCAATCAGACGTCGAGCACTTGGTATTTTATCCCAGGGTCCTGGCCCAACTTCTCTCTCCTGATCTCTACTCTTACATGTTCTTTATAACTTCCCTACTGCCTTCACGCTTTTACTGTAAATTACTGACACTTCTGTGGGATTAGGTACAACACCTGCTGTGAAGTTATACACAAGCTGCCTGCAGTCATTTCCTGGAAGGACTCAGGTCATCAAGCCTCTCCTGGTCAGCGAGGGGACAGCAAGGGTTAACAGTTATATTTACTCTTTCAGGTCGTGGCTGAGATGCTCACTTCTTCCCACCTTCTTCCGCCTGAGACCCTACATCTCACTTCCCGACAGGGAGTTCAGAGAGGTCAGGACACGCAGTACACTATCTGTTGGCGAAAGTGTCTGGAGGAAGGAGGTCGTTTGGGTTCTAGTCTTGCTGACTCTCGCATGCTGTGTGCACGTGGGAGAGTCCCTTCCCCTCTCCGAGCCTGGGTTTCCTCATCTCCTAGAGATCTGTCCATAGCACCCTGACCTTCCTTCCTCCAGGGAGAGAGTTCTCAGTTCTTTCCTGTGCTAGTGCTTATCAATCTTTAAGCTTCACAGGAACCACATAGGGACCGTATTAAAAATGCACATTCTGAGCTAGCAGGTCTGGGGTGGCCCACGAGGATCTGCGTTTCTGAACGCGTCTGCGGAAAGCTAATGCCGCTGGTCCCTAAACTGTATTGAGAAAAACAAGGTTTACTGAGACCAGGAGTTGACAAACCAGTCCAGCCACAGATGCCGGGACTCAGCCACAGCAGTTCACTCGTACAGTGTCTACAACTGCTTTCATGTTGCCACAGAAGCGGTGAGTAGTTGCGACAGAGGCTGGATGAGCCGCAAAGCAGAAAATGTTCACTACGTGGCCTTCTGCAGAATGAGTCTGCTGAGCACTGATTTCACTGCAAGCTTCGTGAGGGCAGCGACCACATCTGTCTCCTTACCCAGTGCCCGAGAATGTCCCTGACACAGATGTTCAATAATAATTTGAGCAATTATTCATTTATCTCGGTTCTTTTCTCCTAACGCTCAGGCTGGAGTCTTAACAGTACAGAGTGTTTTCTATCCCTGAGGCCCTGGAGGACTTTGCTTATTTCCACTCCCTCCGTCTGGCTGCGGTCTGGGCACCTCGGCGGGAGTGCATTGAACCCAACGATGGCGGCGCCCAAGGAGCCCCGGTGCAGTAATTAATGCATTGTTCACATCTCTGAGCAGGCGGGGCTTGCAGCCCCTCTGGAACTGGTTTCAGATGTGGGAGTCCTAGTTCTCCACCCCCTAATTGCAAAGGGGAGATAATGCGGCGTCAGTATCGCCGTGGCGAGCATGGCATCGGGCTGGAAATACATATCATTTAAGCTTTGAAAGCACGACTGGCAGGAAACATTTCTTTTTCTAGTTCACAAATTTAGTGCAGCGAGGAGGCTGAGCTTATTCAAAAGAACTATTCCCTTAGAGGCCAACAGAAAAAAATTAAATGGGTATTTTGAATTCTAAGTAAACAGTCTTTCATGCTCAGTGAGTGTTCGAGTCAAATTGAGTGACTTTGCAGAGACCTGCTGAAAGAGTATCATCCAGCTTATTGAATTAACGTTATTGTTTGCCGCACTGTTTATACACATTGACCTCCGCGCAGAAGTGCTCACTCCTGAGCCCGCGCAACAGCCTCAGCGCCTGCTGGCAGGACTGGGGGGTGGAGCAGGAGGGGAAAACATAACTTGGAGGCTGCCACTTGGCTGCTGTTTTTCTCTTCCACCCCCCTGGTCTCAGGCCCCCTCTCTTTTCTTATGCAAACAGGCAGGGATTCTCTGTGCAGGCTCTTGGGGATTGTTCCAAAGTCCTTGAACTAGATAATGAAACACTCAGGCCCTAGTTCCCTCCCTTTAGTACGGCAATGTCCTGACTTCCTCCTATATGCCTTGTTCATGAAGGGCTTTTCCAACCAGAGCCTCCGCCAGTTTTACTGCCTCAGCTGGTGTGTCCCTGCTTTGGACCCTTATCAACAAGACAGAAACGAACATATCTGGTAGGAGAAGCCATGTTTTTGTATTTGGCTAGTGATGCAGAGAGGGCCATAGTCTCCCCACGTTGCTGATGAGGAAGCCAAGGCTTCAGAGAGGCTAAGTGACTCTTCCCAGGTCTCCCAGGTGACCTCCTGACTTGAAACATTTGTCAGTAGATACTTTATTTAGTGTCCTGCCTTTGACAACTGCCTGCTGGGAGGTAGTGGCAGAGTCAGGTAGAAGTCAAGGACTCCACCCTAAATCTTTACCTGTACTCCCCCAAAGGGTGGACCGTGGGTCTTGCGTTAGGGTGGCTTTACAGACGGCAAAACTGAGGTGTGTAGGGCCGTGACCCAATACAGGAGCCTAGGCTGGAACCACCTATGTCTGACTCCAGAGTCCACGCTGGTAACCGCCCCTGCTGCCTCCTAGGTACCAGGTGCTTTCTGCGCAGCACTGCTGTCCTCACAATAACATCCCAAAACAACTAGTATTAGACGCATTTTGTCAAAGATGAAATCGAGGTGCAGAGAAGTGCATTGTCTTGCCCAAGGCCCCAGAGCTGTAGTAAGGCACAGGACTCCCAAGGCGCAGACAGGAGGTGGCCGTGGGCTACTCACCACGTTCTTGTAGAAGTAGTACACCACCATCCTGGCCAGCCGCGAGTAACACCAGTGGCCGTGCACGAGCAGCAGCTTTTTGAGGTGGCTGAAGCGGGAGATGGCGAAGTCGCTGGACATGACAGCCTGCGGGGGCGGAGCAGAGACGTTAGCCTCCACCCTGGCTCCCGGGGCACCACAGAGGCTCCCCCAGGGCAGGGCTCAGTGCTGGGTCCGTAGGGCCCCTACATGGTGCCCTTGGGTGTCTCTTCTGACTCGGACACCCCACCCTCTCCTCCGGGAGACCCAAACCTCACTGGAATCCAGTAAGGGCAGGTCAGGAGGGGCCCATGGTCTCGCTGGGCCTTCGTCTCTGTTTATCCAGTGGGCACTGACTGTGGCCCCGTATGTTTTGGGCACCACGCTAGGGATGTGACGGTGGCCCGGAGAGTCGGGGCTTCCAGGCACGTCATCCGCAAACCTCTGAACACCCCTGGCCACCTTGCTGAGGCCGGCCACCTGCTGAGGCCGGCCACCTGCTCCGCGCTCAGATGCAGTGTGTCTTCTGCCCTCAGAAGACAGTTCCTACTGCTCTTTTAAGACTCCGGGGTTTGGACAAGTCTGGTCATAAAGCCTGGCATGAACCTGGCGGGCGTGGCATGGAGTCAGAGGGAGGCCTAGTCTTCTGAAACTGGGGGACCTCATGACTTTGATTAAATTTAGCTTTAAATCCTAAGTCTAGAAATTTCTCTGTTCCCCCCTCCCTCTTTCTATCTTCCCTGCAGCCTTTCCCCTGGATAAGCAGCAACCCCCAAAGCAGCAGGAGACAGTGGCCAGAACCTGAAAAGTGGTCACATGGTCTGGATAGCACGGCAGGCTAATGGTAACATCTTGACCTAATTGATGTTTCAGTTCTGAGCCCTAAGGGGATGACCCCCTGACTACTTTAGCAGGAGACCAGACAGAGGGACAAGCAGAAAGGACCTCACAGAGGTGTCCTCAAGACCTGAAGAAACAATTCATCGCCTTCCCTCGCCTCTGACACTCAGCTTCCAGCACACGCCCTAAACCACAGTGTCTTACGATTTTGCCCCATATAATCTGTAACCTACACACCTTTGGGGAGTCAGGTTTTTAACTTTAGCTCCCTGCCTCTGGGTTAGCCAATGCAATATTAAAACTTTCTATGCTGGGAACTCCTGTTTGTGCGTTCCTTGGGGCCAGTGCATGCAGGCAGGTGGACATAAGGGAAAACATTCGGGTTCTGGGAACGCTCCCCTGAATGGTTGGGTACCATGGGGCTTTGGGACACCGGTATCACCAGCTGTCTGTGACAGGCTGAGCACCTTTGATATTCTCTGGGCTCAGAAGCACCTGGCAGTAGGGGGCTGGTAAGGGGGGTTTATGACATGGAAGCCTAACTTTCAGATGATAACTCTGCAAAACTCTCAGGGAGAAGTTTACCCCACACTGCAGAACGCCTTAACTCTCCCACAAGGAGCAAGGACAGCAAGGAGGAAATGAGGACAGGTGACGGGAACTGTACCTGCATGCCTTCCTGTCCAGATATTCCGATCCCGATATCCGCAGCCTGAATCATGCTGACGTCGTTTGCTCCGTCACCTGGGAGAAGAGAGGTCCCGGGCTGTCTTTATTCCTGGTCCCGCTGCTGCAGCACACAGGGGAGGGTTTTATAGAAATGGCTCTAAAGAGTCCCATTTGTACTTAATTGAATCCTTTTAACATTGCTCTAAATAGTCCTACAGGAAAAGTCAGTTGCTACGGTACTTGGCCTGAGAGACGTCTTTTCTTCTTTGGACAAGGAGCCCTACTTTTTTTTTTTTTTAATCAACAAATATTTGTCTCCTTTTTCTAGGCACAAGGTTAGGTGTTGGGAGTTACTGGTGAGTAAGTGAGACTTGAGCTCTGCTTTATAGTTTACACAAAAGGCCTCGAGAACGCTCCAGTGGACTTGAGTGAGGAGCAAACGGAGAATCTGAGCAAGGCAGGCACTGGGCGAGAGTAACCCGGCCAGGGAAGAGACCTGGGGAAATCGGAGCTGAGGTCTTTCCGACTCCAAGGCTAGCTACCACACCTTCCTTAACTCAGTGTAACACGGAATACTGACCGCACCAAGACCACCGGGATGTCTGGACAGCTCAGTCCTCAGATTATCAAGGGACTCGAGGGGCAGGGTTCGGTTTTGTTTCTGAATATAGAAAAACGAGACTACTTTTTTGACTGAGGTACATTTAGTCACATTGAGCTGCCATGCAGTGAGTAATTCAGAGAACTGGAAATTAGGGCCAGGTCGATTTTTCTGTAATGATGCAAATGTCTTATGTCTTGACTGTCCAATATGGAAACCACTAGCCTCATGAGACTATTGAAATGTGGCTGGTGAAATTCTATTTAAGTGTACACAGCCACAGATAGGCAAGCGCTTTGGACAAGGAGCTGTATATAGCTTGCAAGCCTGGGTCTTCCTAACGCTTTATCTTTCGCGCTAGAGCTGACCAAACTTTTTCTGTAAAGGGCCAGATGGTAAATATTCTAGGCTTTGTCGGCCAAGAAGCAAAACTGAACAACTGTCCTTATGGTTAGAAGGATAAAAACCATTCTTAGCATCCCTATAGAAACACACAGTGGGCTGGATTCAGCTTGTGGGGTGTGGCTCATAGATGGTATTGCCTTAACCCTCTGACCCCACCACTTTCCAGCAGGTCCTCCTGGTCTGCAATTAAATCTGTATCAGGCTCCATGGAATACATGGCACCCGGGGGAGAGACTTTCCTTCCTCTAATTATTTGGCAACAAAATTTACTGATCTTAAACATCTTATCATTTTAAGTAGCCGTTATTCTTATAATGACCTTTTTTTCTTGATAACAGAGCAGCACATAATTTTGGTCTTTCCCCGTGGCAGAACAAATCCACCCTTTACCCTCTTCTGTTAGCTGACCAGCGGGAGCAGAGGTGTATAATCACACTATTTCTCGCCCCGCTGGCTTTGTTTCTGTCGCTATGGGAGTGAGGCCAATCTCTCTCTTCAGGGAATCAGTCCTGGGCTATTGCCTTGCGTCTGTCTGAAGTTTTGGAGAGGACAATTCAGGGGGATGAAATTAGAATGTAGTGGCTCAAGCGCTGTTACCTGTATTTTTTTTTTGTGCCCACTCCCTAATTATTATTTTTTTACTTGCTTTTACCTAAATACCAGGAGAAAAAAACAATGTATAATAGGCTTCTTCTATGGAATGCCAGGAAGGAAAATATCTGTACGCAGGTCCCTAAATAAACGTACTCTTTACACGCTGTGTGGTACGTGCTGGGTGTGGGATGAAGCGGTGGGCAAGACTGGCACTGTCTGCCTATGCTGGGACCCCTGGTCTCTTGAGCAGGCCATCACAGGGGGCATCCGAGCACTTGGGAGCTAGGAGGGCTGTGAGCCAGGGGAGGCCCCCGAGAAAAGGGAGGTTAGGCGGGGCTGGCAGAAGGAGGGTTTTACAGAGGAAATAGCTTGTGCAAGGGCCTCGATGTGAGAGAGGACAAGGCTCCGGGAGAATGGGGAGCAGTTTCGTTGGACTGGGACCTGCGGGCAGAGATGGCTGGAGGGTTAATGGAGACCCGATCAGTCAGATTCTTGTGAACCAGGATTGGGTTCTCCTGGAAGGTTTTACTTCTCTGCCTCCACTGTGATGAAAGTTTGTTCTCCCATGAAGAATTCTTCATCAGCCAACAAGCTGGCATTTAATCAAGTGTATGCTTTGCTGGGCCTTACATTTAGGAATAAACATACAAAATTAAATGTGGGACAGGCCCGACTTTTAAATATCACTGAGCAGAATACCAAACCCACCACACCTGACGTTCATAGTGTTGTGCCGTGTGGGAAGTGTGGGCGGGAGGTGGTCTGCATCCCAGAACTGAGCTGGCCTCTGCGTATATTACCGAGCTACCTGGAAGCTCCAAAGTTGAGGCCCCTCTTGGCTTTGCCCTTCTGCCAAGTCCTAATTTTTCCTTAGCTCACCTGCCAATCCTGAGGACTTGGGTTCACTCTCCCACTCTGCTTAGCCTCTGCTTCATCTCCTGGTTGCCACATCTTGTCACTTTGACCTCTCTCCCTCTAAGACAACGACCCTCAGCTTTAGCATCTTAACTTAGATGCCTAACCTCCCCCATGCACCCCACCCCCCACCTCTGGTCCAGGCCTCTGGTCAGAGCAGCCTTGCCACAGTGCCACCCACACCTGAGCATGACGGGTACCTATGGAAAGCGTCATGACGCCCAGCTTGTCTCGCACCAGCTTGACGATCACGCTCTTCTGCAGCGGGGTGGAGCGGCAGCACAGGACGGACCGGCAGTGCTGGGTCAGCTCCAGAAACTTCTTCTCCAGCTTCCCCTGGAAGATGGTGTTCAGCGTTCTCCCATCGATGACCAATCCAACCTTCGGAACGGCCGCTCCCGAGGTGGGGGCGGGTGTCTCAGAAGGCAGGCACCACCCAAAGAGCTTGCGGTCTGGCTTCTGTGGTCCATGAAATTGCTTTACCTCTTCCAGTGCGCAGTCGAGGATGGATTCACAGGTCTCCTGTAAAGATTCGGAATCATGCATTCGGTATGAGTAAGCAACATTGGAAATGCATGTCTAAAGCCTCCCTTTGTCCTTCAGTAAAATAGTTATAAAATCCGATCGCCACACAGATTACTTACCTAGGAATCATTCTGTGATTTTTTTACACGTCTCTGCACTCTTTCAAACAGCACTGAAGCAATATTAATTTGGAATCAAACTGATGTCCAAAATGGGGAAGACTGCTTGGGAATGGGACTGGAAAGAGCTCACGAGACAGAGACAGATACTGGGGTGGTGTGCGATAATGAGCCCGATCCGACAGTAAACAAGGACAATGCATCACGCCGGTGTGGTGCTTTCCACGAGTCACGGTCATCTCAGCTCCCCTGCGCTGTTCCTCGGGACGCTCCTGTGTAGTAACTTTGGAAGGAGGCTGTGTTACCGCCCGCTTTTGTTTAGAGATGAAGAAATGGAAACAGTGGAAGTGCCAGTGACTTGTTCACGGTCACCCAACTTAGTGCTGGAGGCACATCACCACCACTCAGATTGTTACAGCTTCTTAATTGTAAAACCACATTCACTGTGTGTGTTCACCTGTTGGTGTGAATGTGTTGGTCGTATTGTTTAAAACTGACCGTGGATGTGAGAGTCTTACTGGTTTAAAGAAACTTCTTACTTTTTCTGGTGTTTCCCGTGAAACATAGTAGGGAAGAAGTTACCTCTTTTTATCAAGTCTCCTCCGTTACTTCTGATTATATCAAATACCAAGTCAGATTTTGGTTCTAAATATATTCTTAATCCTCTTTACCTTCTGTAAACCTCACTTTTAAATAAAGCTAGAGAAAAACCGTGGCAGGCAACTGTATTATCAGTGTTATAGCATCATGTCGCTCACGCAGTCTTTTTAGGCACGGCCCAGGGTGACAGTTTTCATTTACTGTTGTGCCAAAAATTCCTTCTAAAAATACATTTTTAAATGCTCAGAGTCAATTTAAGTGAAATCATTCCATAAAAAATAGCACAGGTAATACGTGGATTTTGGCAAGAACTGTGATGGTGGTTCTGAAATGACAGGTTTGGGAACCACTGATCTACAAGCTTCTGAGAAGGCCGTAATTTCTTCCGGAGCCAGTAGGCCTGCAGTTCATTATTCCCGATCCTTCCTTTAGAGGGCGGGCTGCACCGGCCACCAGGCGTGCACAGAACCCAGGCGGCCACAGGAAGCAGTGCGAGGAGCCGCAGGTTATACCTGAAACACTTACTTGGGGAAGAGATCACGACAGTCCTCGCTGAAGCTGGGATCGCCATAAAGAAAGATTCCTTCAACTCGGGACCGCAGCAAGTCATTGGAAACATAAGCTTCCAAGTAAAATCTCCAAGTTATTTCGAATTTTCTATGTAACAACCACAGTAGTCACCATGCGTGTAACATTTAGCGTATGTCAGGTACTGGGGTAGGCAGCCTCTTAGGAGGTTCCCTCCTGTGTACTCACGCCCTCGTGTGAGTGCCTCCCCTTGAGTGTGGGCTAGGACTAGCGACTCCTCTCTAATGAAGAGTTCTGCAAAAGCAACAGGATGTCACTCCTCCAGGTGGTTTATGAAGACTGGCTACCCATAAGGTGTTCTTCCTCACTCTGCCTCGGACAGCTTGCCTTGGGGAAAGCCAGCTGCCACGATGGGAAGCCCTCTGCGGAGAGGCCTGCGTGGCAAGCCTGGAGGCCTGCTAACAATCATGTCCATGAGCTTGAAGGAGGACTCCTCCCCAGTCCCCAATGGCCCACCCAATTGAGCATTTAGATGAGCCCACAACCCTGACACCTTGACCGAAACCTCCAGAGAGACCTTGACCTGGAGTACATACTCACCCAAGCTACTCCTGGATTGCTAACCCTCACAAACTGCGATAGCGAAAGTGTTGTTTTCGGTTTTGATGTAATTTATTAACTAATACAAATACTGTGCTAATAAATATTTTCCTTCGATGATCTTATTTAACTGTCCCAAACAGCCTCTGAAATAAATCTTTTTAATTTCTATTTCACAGATGAAGAGAATGAAGTTCAGAGAGTTATGGTATCTGGACAACATTAAGCCTTCCCATATGTTGCTAATAATAACAATAACAGTTGCTATTATTAGTTCCTACTTAACACCATAGTCCCATCTAAGATTCTGTGACACATCGACATTTCAGGGATGGGCTGTTAATTCTCATCTTACGGATGAGAACCCTGAGGTCCACACTTGCTTACTTGCTTACAGCTTCAAGATGCATAGCAAAGCAACGGTAGCCCTAAATCAATATATAATGAATGAGGCAGATAAAAACCCTTGGAGGAAATATCCACTGAATATGTAATTACATTAAACGGATGTTTAAATAAATCTGTGGTTTAGCATGGATTTCCCCAGTGTCTGTCTTGACATATCTAGGCACCCAACTCCTTTTCCCCAGACAAGGAGACAAGAAAGACTCCTGGGCTTAGCACCCCGGGGTGTGGTGTGGGCGGGGCCTGATGTCCAGGCACCTTCTTGGAGGGCCCAGGCAACCTTCAAAGCTGGCAGTGACTGAACTCAATGTGGAGTGTGGCCCACCATTCCTTAGGAGCTTTGGCTAATTAATCAGCAAACACCCCAGCTCCCTGCAGGGACACATTGCATTTAACAGAACCTGTCCCCCACAGAGGCAACCCGCCTCCCCCGGCAGCTCACATCACAGGCTTGCAATGTCCTTCTGGAATCACCTTGAGTGAAATAATCTTTGCAAACAAAATTTCCATTGTCAGCAGGGCAGGAAGGCATCAACACTCTTGCAGGGATTGAGAACTCAAGCAAGCTGCAAATTACTTTTTCTCCTAAGCATAATATTAATGCCAAAGATTTCCCCGAGATTATTTTCATTTTGAAAATTCTTTGGGGTTTAATCTAGCTGTAGCATCATCTGCACACCTGACAAGAAAGTTAATGATTTTTCCAATTAATTTAAAGGGCCTCAGGCACTTTCCACAGTATACACTACCCTTTTTTTTTTTTAAAAAAAAATGTGTATGTGTATTCTTCGTGAAATAAAAACCAAATTTAAACCTCACAGATTTCTGGACCCTGATCACTTCTATCATCCTTCTCCCTTTTTTGTCTATGGTGGTCTTTTCCTTTCCCGCCTTACCTGTTTCTGCCCCATCCTTTCTCAGTGGCATGCTCTAGGTCTCCAGGTCCCCCCACCCCCACTCACCCCCTCTGCCACGCAGAGCTTTTCCGGTCCACGCCCCACATCTCATCCAACCCCTGCTCCTTTTGGTAGGAGCACACAGGTCAACGCCCACTTCCCATATGCCTCAGCCCAGGAGAGAGGGGAAGTTCACTTCCTGTAGTTGGCATTGTGAAAATTGACTTTGCCTTCTAAATATAAAATGATGTTACAACTTTGAACACACTTCTTCAGACTACACAGCCCCATTTCCAAACCTTGCTCCCTGCCACTTAACAGCCTATTTGGGTTGAGAATCAGAGTGTTCACTGTAACTCTGCTTCTCTCTCTCCTATCCCATCAAAATGTGCTGGTTTCACATGTCATTCCCTTCAGGATTTATTCTGTGGCAAACCAACTTGACTTACAAGTTGGAGCTGAAATTTTAAACTCAGAATGATTTCAGTTTAAGTGAAGTTTTTTTTTCCCCCCAATGGATGAGTTAATCCAAACTATAAGAAATGAATCATTGAGGTTCTGTGAGCGAGCAGTACGGTCTCATGCAATCAGCAGTGGCCTGAAGGAGGCAGCTTTCTAGACTTTTATTTCTCTACAGGAAACTACAAGGTGACCCTGGGCAGGTGACAGCCTCTGTGATCTTAAGCGTCCTCACACGCAGAATGGGGAGGCTGGGCCAAGGGTAGAATCCGGGAGAGGCATACCTTTCTAATGTGCACTCTTAGACCTAATATAATACTGGCTACCCCTACTCGGGTGCGAGGGAGAGGGTCCTGGGCTGGATGACTTCCGGGGCCCTCTGAGCACCAGGGTTTTGGCAGAGTGGCCTCCTTGTACACCCAAACACCACCCATGAGCCCGTCTCCAGGTGGCCTGAGGGCTACGCTGCACTCGGACATGTGGACTCGGCCTTGTCCTCACCTGATTTTCGGTGTTGATGGAGTACACGGTGTCGGTCTGATCCAACAGTCTGCAGGAGTGGGCGATGTTGACTGCTGTCTCCTGCTTATCTCCCGTCAAGACCCAGAGCTGGATCCCGGCTTCCCGCAGAGCGGCCACCGTGTCGGGCACTCCCTCCTGCAGCCGGTCTTCGATCCCAGTGGCTCCTGGGGGGATCACAGACACCGGAGAGCACAGTTACGGTGGGAAAGGAGCTGCTTCATTTCCCCAAAGCCCTATCAAGACAGGCAGTAATGATTAAATATCTTCCATGTTCCAGGCTGTGCTAAGCACCCTGATTACAGCAGTGGTATATACAGAGCTGGCCCCTGCCCTCTTGGAGCTCCGAGGCCTGTTGATAAGGGTTTGTAACTGAGCCACATGAGAAGCCCAGGGTCCACGGAAGGTCAGAGAAGGCTTGCTGACAAAGTGCCCTTAGCGCTCCAACCTGGAAGATAAAGACCAGAGGTGGAGAAGGAAGAGAATTCCAGGTGGAGGGATCAGCATCTGTCAAGGCCCAGGGGTCAGAGCGAGAGAAGGTGCAGAGAAGGAGGCCGAATGGGGTGAGAGAGGGGCCAGGAGATAAGGCTTTTCGGATCAGGGCCTTAAAGGATTGGCGTTTATTTCGCAGCTGAGAAAGCTATTAAAGGGACTTAGGTTGGAGAATGGCAGGATCAGTTTTGAGTTTTCAGAACACCATTCTGGAGAACTGACTGGCGTTTGGAGCACGCAGGGTGAAGGAGTTCAGGGCCAAGGGGCCGAGCACGAGCGAGGAGCGGAGCTGGGGGCGCGGTGGCAGCGGAATGGAGAGAGACAAAGAGACCGAGATCTTCGCTAGGCAGCCGCTCGTGGCAGGATTGATAGAGACCCAGGTTTTTGCTAATATTCTGGGAGAGAATTAAACCTGCAGCTTCCCTGGTTTTTGAATCATCTCCAGCTTTGCACCAGCCCAAAGACTGGATAGCAGTGATTAAGCAAAAATAAACCAGCATTTAAATTGAGATTCATTTCAGGGCACAGACCCATGTCACTCTGGGCAGGAGCGAGGCATTTCATTTCTTTCAACAGTTCCGAGTGACAGTAGGTTGGCAAAGCAGTTACGCTGGATGCATAGTGAAAAGATCATCTCACCGTGGGAGCGACTGTGAATGCCAGGCAGGTTTGGAAGGGCCGGGCGGTTTCTTGGTGGCAAGGTGAAATCTCTGCCTGGCCCTAGCCGTGTCTTTGCAGAGCCACCTCGAGGGAAGAAATACAGCCTGGCTGTCCCCAAATGGGTCTGTTTTGTGTTTGAGGCCCAAACACGCAGGTAAACTGCCCCAGGAGGAGGGATGGCTTGGCCTTGTCTTTCCCTCCAAGGCTTAGCTTGGGCGGTGGGCCTCCGAAGCGGATTCACATCACAGGGAGGCAGAGTGAAGGAGAGCGGAGGAAAAACACATTTATTTGTGTGAAAGAGAAAATGAAACAGGGTGGCTGGGCAGACCCTCCCCTGCCCAGGAAGCAGACAGGTCCTGACAAGTGCGTTCTCCTTTCAAGCTGAAGAGCCCTTCTCACCAACTGAGACCAGAGTGCTTCCAGAAACAAGAAACCGTGGGGGCTGCGAAGGGGTCAGCGCCCTAACGGGGTGACGCTGTGTGACCTTGTGTGGCGGACAGAGCTGTGGCCTAGCTACCCTCTGGTTCCCGTTGAAGTGAGTTCTTGCAAACAGCTTTCAAGGGGGCCTTGGGAGGCCGCAAAGGTCCCTGTGATCGACACACGGAAACAAAAGGGGGGAGGAGGTGGGGAGCAGAACTCCGTCCCCGGATGCCTCCCATCTCTCCACATCTTGCTGCTCCCTTTGTATAGCAAGGCATCATGCTCTTACGGGGACGCTGGACGGGTTGGGCAGCGTGGAGGAGTGCGTTTTATCCAGAGAAGCCAAAGCTGAGAGGGCTGCAGGGATGTGTTCTTGGGCCAAGGTCTCACCAGGGCTGGGATGTGGCCCTTGTGCCCAAGGCAGCGTTATCTCGTGAGAGGAAAGAAAGCTGCCACGGGGCCCCTGTGTGCACGCTGCCCCCCCCTTGCGTGCTGCCCTGGCGCATGCTGCCTCTGTGCATGCAGCTCCTCAGGGTCTTTCTGAGATCTTACTCCCGAGCTGAGAGGTTGAGTCTGATAAGTAAAGCCCCCTCTTCTCTCAGCCATGCTTTCCGCCCAACAGAAATATACAACGCCACCTCTGAACTGTGGTCTGTGTGCTGCTCCTCTTCCCGCAGGGCGTCAACCTCACTTCTGTGCGGGAACAGCCGGAGTGATCTCGGTGAAGCACAAATCCATCCCCGCTTTCACTCCCTTCGCCTCTCCGGACGTTCAGTGTGTGATTTACGTGGCCCTTCATAATCTGGGTCCTTTCTCCCCAACCTCCGAGGGCCAGCCACAGCAGACCCGAGGGACCAGCAGGCCCAGGCTTTCTCTCCGTGCCAGGAACACTCACTCTCCCCCTTGGCCCGACCAACTCTGCTTCTCCTCTCAGTCCAGCTTGCCTGCCCCCTCCTCGGCCCCCAGGCCAGGTTGGCGCCTTTTCCCTTGTGTTTGCACCCCAGCTGGTACATCTTCCAGGCCAGCACTCACCACACTCTGTTTAATTACTCATTTAATCCGTTTTCTCGCTGAACTCTGACCTATGGGAGGGCAGGTCCTGTGCTCTTGTTCCCGGTTGTAGCCCTAATGCCTAGTATACTGTTTTGGCACACAGTAGGTGCTCAACAAACATTTGAGCGAATGCAGAAGAGGCAGTGAAACTCCTAGGCTTCACCCGGCAGGCAGTGCAGGAAGGCCCCTGGGCACCCTCGGGAAGCTGCGTGTCGAGTCTGGGTGGCATGTTGGCACAGCCTGTGCGTGCCAAATAGCCAGAAAGGAACCTCAGGGAAGGCCCCTAATTGAGACACATTTGTAGCAGTGTCAGAATCAGGGCCAAGAACTCCCTTCCCAGCTTGCCATGCTCCTATTTTTCATTTCACGAGGACTTATTTTTAGCTACCGAGTAAGGTGAGCTGATTCTCCAGATGCTGTGCGGTCTCCATCAGAAGCTCCTCTCGGTTTTCAAGGGCCGCCTCAGCCTCGTGCCGGAAACTGGCCCACCGCCGGAAGTCCTCCTCGCTTATGACCTATGGGGCAGGAATAGACTCATTCACAACTCTGAGTGAATCCCCCACCCTTCCCATGTGTCTGTTTGAGCTTCTCTGTGTATTTTTTTTAAGATTGTGGGAGAAGCGGGGGAAACAGGGAGGGAGAGAAACACTGATATGTGAGAGAAACATCCATCAGTTACCTCTTGCTCACGCCCTGACCTGAGGACCAAACCTGCAACCTAGGCATGTGCCCTGACTGGGAACTGAACCGGTGATCTTTCCCTTTATGAGATGACACCCAACCAACTGAGCCACACCAGTCAGGGCATGTCTACAAAATTTGATAGGGCTTTGTCCTGAATGATTGTTTCTTTAAATGCCTGAATCAATAAATCAATTATATTCTATTATCACCAAACATCTGTTGAGCAGCTTCTGCCCTTCTCAGGGCACTGGAGATGCAGCAGGATCAAGACAGACAGACCCCTGCATGCCTGGGCTTATGTGTTACCAGGCGGGGGGTGGGGGTGGGGAGCGGCGAGAGACATTATCCAAGTAAACACTTTAAAAGAATAGGTTATTTCAAGGACTTCTACATAGAAATGAAAGAGGATGATATCATGACGTGTGGGTTACTGGGTTGGGGGACAGCTGTGGGAGGAGGGGCTGTTTCATTGGAATCTTCAGGTCTCTTAGACAAGGTGACGTACAAGTTGAGATCCAATGAAGAGAAGGGTTCAGTCATGGGGAGGGCCAACAGCAAAGGCTGTGAAACAGCAGTGAACTTGGTTTTGTCTGTTCCTTGAACATGCCAGTTGGCTAAAGGACGGAGAGCCAGGTAGAAAGGAGCCAACAATGAGGCTTGGAAGGTAAGCAGAAACCAGATCTTGCGTAGCCTGGTGGAATGCTCTACCTGCTTGCTGTTGGAGGTGGTGCCCGAAAGCCGGAGGAATACAACTAGAGGACACATCTCGCTCCCTTGGAGTCCCACGGCACTTTAAGACACTTGCGTGGGCATTACACGAAGACTGTCTCTTACAGCAACGGATAAATCTGTTGTCCATACATCAAATATATTTTCTCTCTGTGCCTGGCTCTATAGGGAGTGCCACGTGGACATAGGTGGGCCTTCTGCTCTTGTGAAATTCTATGTCTTATCAGAGGAGATGAAACTGGCACAAATAATTTCAATGGAAAATAGAAGGTGGTGAGGGTATAATTACCATCTATAGAGTAGTGAGCACTGGTTGCTGTCCCCTGTACATGTGTCCCTTAGTTAATCTCCATGACAACTGTGGGAGGTAAGGAGCACTGACACCACCACTTCACAGAAAAGGAAATGCAAAACTCCGAGAGGCGAAGAAACTTGCCCAGGGTCCCACAACACGTAGGTGGTGAGACTGGGACTTGGACCAGGTAGGTCTGGCTTCAAAGTGGGTGCTCATAAACTTTTACATTTTTGTTGTTGCCTAAACAGCACAAAAGAGATGAGCTCTGGGGATTTATGGAAGAGAAATCAGTCTAGCCCTCTGGAAATCTGCCCATCATAGCTTCCCTACCTGATTTAGGTGCCTCATTACATGCCCATGCTCTGGGATACACAGCTCTGTCTGCGTCTCTTGCCAAGTTAAAGACCTGCAGGGGGTTAGGTGGTCATCCACATGACCAGAGCTGGGCCAAGGGCAATTCCACCGGGAATGGTGGGGACTGTGACTGACCGAAACACAGAATACGCCCCTGATCAGGCATCAGCTGGACCATGGCTGTAGCTGTTTGCTGCCCTTTGAGAATGGAGACCCACTTTGGCAGATCCTCTCCATTTTCAAGAGAAACCAGAAATCTAGATTTTTATGTGATCACATAAAATCTGCCAAGTCCCAAATCTATGCAAATAATGCCAATTTTAAAAGAATACGCTGAAGGCAAAATTACAACATTGAAAATTACTTTATGAGCTAGGTAGGGGTCACCAGCTTCCATAGACCCTGTAAGGCAGGGTACCATAAAGCCACACTGATGGAACCTGGCCATTCTGATTTCTGCCCCAGCAAAACCGTCAAGGTCATGGGTCTGTGGTGAGTCAAAAGAGCTCATTTTGAAAGAATCACAGCAACCGACATTAAGGGTCTTCTAAAAAGAAATGGAAAACACAGAATCAGGGTCGAGGCCCTTCAGCTATGTGGAGAGGAATCTGTTCCCACCTTCTTGGCGATGCACAGAGTTCGGAGGCCGTCTCTTGCGTACAAGTCTAGGTGCTTCTGGGTCCGGGCTCGGATTCTCCTCACCTTCTTTTCCACATCAGCATCAGTCACTGTGAAAGAGTCATTGTCCCCCATGAGGTCATGTGCAAATGCTCAGGGATTCTCTTCCTAACATTCTGGACTTTTTAAGAGGGGGAACCCCCTTACAGCCCTCCCTGGAGACAGGGGAGCTCTCCTGACCACCAGGGAGTCCAGGAAGGTGATGTGGTAACTCTGGGAGTCCCTTCAGTCCTCTGCTCTCTCTAGCCGGTCGTCAAAAGCCTGGCTGGGCAGGGCGCTGTCTAAGGAGGGCAGATGGTCTGTGTGTTGTTCCCAAACGCCCGTGGGCCTCAGAATTCTCTGGGACCCTCAACAAATAATAGAGATTCCCAGGTCCAGTTGAAGCTTTGCTGAATCAGGGCACCGGAAATCTGAATCTTTATTATTATCCATAGCGTTTTCTCTGTAGCTGCATTAGCCCTGGATGACCAACTGTTTGCTAAGTGGTAGACATACCACCCAGCACCTTCTCTGCCATCTACTTCAGCCCCCATATCAAGTCAGGTCCCAAGACAGCTTCGGACCCGACTCTCATTGCGAAATTCATCGCCGCAGTGGGTTTGCTGAATTAGCCTTTCTTTCTAGGTAAGAAATGGTCTTAGAAATTTTTTTTTTTTTTTTTTTGCATTTCCTACCAATCTAGTGTTTAGAATGAAAAATGCTTCATTGTGTTGCTCACGGTCCCTTTAGGAAGTCCTACATAATACATTTCTTTTAGAAAAAGTCATCTTTTTTTCTTGAAGTTCCAATACTTTAATCTACCAGATAAAAAGAATTTTTTATCCTGGGTTAGTGGGTATGGGGCAGGATTGATGCTATCACAGCTTGCTTTATCTCAGATGCCGCAAACATCACCAATCAATTGCTGCACTTTACAAGCGGAGCTTGGAAAAAGGGCCAGAGTTTATTTTTTATTTTAAAAACAGGTCTAGATAGAGATCTTCAGAAAGCCCAAAGTAGTAAACAGATTTTGTGCACCTCATCCATCCCTCTATATAATGCAAAATTAAAGATACAATATTTAAAAGTAAGGTAAGTATAAGAAAGCCCAATGAGCTCTGATTCTTCCCCCACAATAGCAGTCTAAGGCTGTTTTTATACACTGCAAAATTTCTCTCAGAGATTATTTTTCTCATTTTTTCAAAGGCATTACTGTTTTCCCGGTGCCTTGAGCACAGTCTTTATGCATTGTCTTATTGAGCACTATTTGCAATATTTTATTTTCAAAGACATCAGTTTCTAAGATTAAACCCTTTTGCCTTCTATCTGGTTACCTTTGAATTGGCCTGTTTTGCTTGGGCTAACAGAAACCTCGGGGTCCGATCAGATGTTCAAAGCCCATCGCTATGTTAAACCTCGGGTTATTTTCCCCCTCATCCATTTCAAAGCTTTAGTTCTCAATGCTTAATAGCAACATTGCTCATGTGTCTTTTACCGAGAGCATCTCTAAGCCATTTTGCAATCAGCCGAGGAACAAATAAAAAACATCTCTGGGGTGGCTCTGGTGGCCGTGGCCCAGGGATTCAGAGACACTGCGTTCACTTGTCTGCCAGAGTCTGGGGATGGAGAGACCTCATTAGCTCCCTTCCCATTCTAAACACTTATCCATCCCCACGAACCTCTTGGCTTTGCTCCACAGCTGATAATGCAGGAGGCACAGGGCTGCCTGGGCAATTCTAAAGCTTGGCTGGAATCTACTGTCCCGGGAGAATCATAGCCCCATCACTGTCTTCTCCTCGTTAGTAATCAAGGAGCGGCTGTGCACTGATTCACGCTGCTCCAAAATTGGACACTGATAGGGAGAGACTTTGGAACATTTTTCTGGCTCAGTGCAGGTTTATGAAAATCTATTCAGGGAGAGGCTGGGGAAAAGGATGATAAAGAGGGACACCTGAGGCTTCCCAGAGTGGACCGAGCCTGGTGCAGAATTCCGGAGGCAGGGAGGGAGCTCTGGGCTAGGCTTCAGGGGCCGTATCTGGGCAGAGGATTTACCCCTAGTTACCACGCCACCTCTCTCAGGTCACTTCCCTCTCTGGGTTCAGTTGGCTTCTCTCCAAGACTAAGAGTTAGGGGCACAGCACGCTCTAGGGTATATTCATGGGTGTCCTAGTCAAAAATAGTGTATGGATACTCCATGTTTCAATGAGTTTGGAAAACTAGAAACTGGGATAATGAAGAGGCTTTGCTTTTACAAGACCACCCTTCTCCAGGTTGAGGAGACATGGAGTAGAGTGTGTGTTAAAGAACCTGCTTTGAGGAGACCAGCGTGTGGGCCCGTGTCCTTCGGGGACTGGCTGGGCCGAGTGATGCTATAACTGGAGCTCGCCATTGCTGTTCCATGCTGCTCTTACCCCTCAGAGCCCCGTCCTCCCGGAGCCCTGGGGAAGGGCACTCACCGCGGGCAGGGTCTTCCAGCAGGTCCATGATCACCGAGTCGGCGCCCTTGGTGTAGACGATGATCTCACCTGTCAGCGGGTGCTTCACCACCACAGACATTCTCTTCCTGACAGAGTCAAAGCCCAGGGTGCAGAGGACATTGAAAGTGAGGCAGGTGCCCTGGGGCAAGCGCACAGTCACCTGCTCGGGTGTCCGGGACATGAGCGTGAAGCTGTAGGCATTGGCAGCGTGCACCAGGGCGGCCTCATCAGGGCTCTCGGCCTCGTAACACAGTTCAGAGCCGGCCAGGCCTAGGGCCGGATCCTCCAGAGCCGCCTCCAAGGAGGCGCCCGACCCAGACACCAGCATGTCACCTTGGTCCCACGTGCTGCTCCTGCAGCTGCCATCAGTGGAGTAGCCTCCGCTGCAAACAGAGGCATCGTCCTCTTTTTCATCCGAGTCCGTAGTGGGCATGTTGGTCCCCAAGCTCTCCCCCAGGTCGGTGCCAGAGGGCGCAGTGGATGAGAAAGACTGGCTGAGGCTCAAAAGCTTCAACTTCTGGAAGAGCTGCTGGATCTTCTCCAGGGACGTCCCCAGAGCCTTGGTGGAGGGGGGCATGGTGACCTTGAGATCAAAGGAGGGAAGGAGAATGTTACTCTCAAGGTTGGAAAAAGATATCAAGCTGTCTTATGGCAGACTCTGAAGGTCATTGTGCAGTAAATGAATTATTTGGGCCTTCTGGGGTTGTGGACGAGCCTTCTCCCCCAGCTGAGCCTCAGTTTGCCCGCTTAGAAAACGAGACAGTTAGGCCAGATGTTTCCTCCACCCGTGACATTCTTGGGATTGGTCACGACCGTCCACTCTAGTCAGAGACAAAGGAAAGGAAAGGAGACAAAAGCCAGACCCATAGTAAGAGTCTACATTCCCCACACCCTAACCACGGCCTTCATCGCACTTCATCCTCCCAGCAACGTTAAGGGCTACTATCACCCCAATTCATAGATGAGGAAACTGAGGCACGGAGAGGTTAAATGCATGGGCCATCATCACCCAGCATGAGAGCTGGGACGCAGGTCTGGTTCTGTCTGACTCCAGAGGGTGGGATCTTCCGCTCCCTGCCAGCTGCAGCCTCCCTATTAACGCAAACATTGAGAGGTGGAGGCTGTTCTTCCTGAAATGGTACTTGCTCCTCTCTTGGGAATAGAGTTCACTTCTCAGATAACGCTAACATCCTCCCAGAGCTCCCTGGAGACCTCTGATAACTGGGCGACTTTTCAGTGCCTGGAATGACTTTTCAGGGTGCTTTGGGGTCTGGACATAAGAAGGGGAGGCTCTGAGTTGGTGCCTGGGTGAATCCTTTTCTTAATTTCACAGTCACAAGTTGTGACACCCAATATTCTCAGCAGTCACTCACAGGGGAGCTTGGCAGAGGGTCGACGGATGATGAAAGACCAGCTATCTTCATTACTAAAGCAGAGACCAGTATAACATGATGTTATGGAGTCACACAGGTGGTTCTGTCATGTACTGACCATACAACTTGTGTTGAGTTACTCAAGCTTCCTGAGCCTCTGTTTCTTCCCTTGTTAAGTCCAAAGTCATACCACTGTGAGGCTTAAATGCTAATGCAGCATGTAGCAAGTGCTCAGTAAATATTAACTCTTACTATCTACCCTGCGGACAGACAGACACCAAATCTGAAAGCTACACAGAGAGCTCATAAAGAACCTTTTTCATTTTATTTAAGAATGAGGAAACTGAGGCCCAGAAAGGGTACGAGTTCAAGGTCTTAGAGTGATGAAGCAGTGACGCTGTGGCCCAAGTGCCTTGTCTTCCTGTTCAGGGCCTCACCTCTTGCCCTCCCCCCTCCCCCTTTCTCCCCTCCCCCCTGCCACCCCACCTTCACCGGTCCCTACCCTCTGTCTGGGCTCGGTGGTGGTGGAGACCATGACGGAGTTGCAGATGGTTAGGGCGAGGAAGAAGTCAGCGATGGAGGAGGTGGTGGAGAGGGCAGGCCTGGTGGGTCTGGAGTCTGGCAAGGTCCCCAGCCACAGGGCAGCCTCTTGCACCTTGGTCAGTAGGTTTTTATCTGGAGTCACATCTTTTTCCTGAAAGAGAAAGGCCTGTGTGAGTCTTTCCTAAAGGAAGGCCCCTTCCAGCAGGTTCTTTGCACGCCTGGGGCAAAAATGATTGTCTTTCCTGCACTCCTGAACCCAGACGGCTGCCCCTCCCCTGAGCCCGGGCACCAAAGACTCTGATTTGATTCCTCCCTTTCCCTCGCCCACGTGCCCATCAGTTACAGGCTCTGGCGATTCTCCCCTCGCAGTATCTCCCCCCATTCCTGATGCTACCAGCCAGGCTCAGACCCTGCAGCCCTCAGTCCTGATTTCTGCATCACCCCCAAACTGATGTTGCTGCCTCTTGCCTGTTCTCCTTCTAACCCTTCATATGTATCACCTGCGCATCTTTCTAAAACACCATTTCCCTCAGGCACTCTTGAACTGGACAGACCTTCAGGAGATCTTCATTGTTAACACGATCAATATACTGTCACTTGAACTTGTTCACAGTCTGCACTTCCACTCTCTGCTCCCGCCACGTCTAAACGCAGACCTCAGCTTAGCTGGGTGTCTGTTTGCTGCCTCCCGGGTGAAGACTCCTGTTCTGTGCCTCTGACCTCACCTCGTTTGGAAGGTCCCTTCCTGTCCAACGAAACCCTACTTCGACTTCAGTAACTATGAGAAGTCCTATGTGCCCATGAGAGCTTATCCTGCCCACAATGAGTTCTCTGTCTTCTGAGCCACAAGAGCAGGCTCCTGACTCAGAACGTCCACAGGACTCAGGCAGGCCGGGCGAGGGAGGGAAGTGGGCCAGAGCACAGAGGAGGACACTGTGGGATGGTGGGGGCTGTGCGTGCTGGCCGGTCCTACCCCACCGAAAGGCTGGCAACGGCCCTGCTAGTAAGATGCTCCGGTGCTGGCCTACTTTGCCAAGCCTCTTGATTATTTGAGATAAAGCAGAGATGACCTGGAACTCATTATTATTTCCAATCTGTGGGCTGGATCTGTGGGTTTCCAATTTTTGACATCTTTGTAGAAGTTGCCACTTGGACCACCCTTTGGAATTCAGCATATATTGACCTATGTTGTAAGGTCAAATTTCTTACATCCTCTCTAGAAGTGAGGTTAGAGCCTCAAAGACAGAGAGACTGCATTTACCACAAAGCTGTATCTTCTAGAGCTCCGGCCACTGCTCTGTTTGAAGCAGAGGTTCAACCACCACCAGCTTTCCACAGTTAGCTATGGTAAAGGCATTCTGCAAAGAAGTTTCCATGTGAGACCACTCTTATCAGTAATCAGAGTTTGGTTTAAAGTTTAGAAGGAAGAACGTACAGTGATCCTCCCAGTCACCTTGCATTTCAGATAAAGAAACTGCTTCCCGGGGAGATTACGTGTCTCACCCGAAGTCACACCATAAGCGGGAGAGATTCCTTCAGTTGACCCAAGATAATCTGACACCCGTTGATTCGAGATCGTCTGACACTAGAATTCATGCACTCAACCTCGACGCCAGGGAAGACCCCGGCGAGAAGAAAGGGCTCTGGTGCTCGCCGGCAGCCAGCATCTTCAGCATCCGGCGTCCCAAACACAGCGGATGGGTTTGTGCATGTAATCCTTAGTGCTCAGCAGACAGGCCATGAGCTTATAAAGGGGTTATGGGAATCTTTCTTCTTGAGGAAATAGACTTCTTTGTTGGGGAGGGAGATGAGGGTACAGGAGTGGGGTGCTTTTAACCCTTACCACAGATACCCAGAGCTGGGAACAGGCTTGGAGGTCATCAGAGCCAAGCCCCTTATTTCGCTGACAGTAAAACTGAGTGGCAGAGAGAAGGGGTGTGGACCGCTCAAGGTCACACACTGAATGCAGGTCAGAACAGAACCAGGGCAGCTCTCCCGTCCCCCGGCTCCCAGCCTCTGGCACACCTGGCTTTGCTGCAAGCTGTGCCTTATGTATTTCCAAATGGTGACACGGTTAAAGTGATTTACTGGTTGTTTATTGCATGACCACTTACCCTCTAGTCTAAGTGCCACCAGGAGAGACTGTCATGTGTCCCCAGTGCCTGGCAGACGGCACCACGTCAACCTGTCGGCTGACTCGAATCTAGGATGCTACGCTAGAGGTGCACTTCCACCGAATCATACAGGGATGCGTTTAAAGAAATCTCTGCAAAGAACCTCCTTCTCTCTGGTGCTGGCAGCGGGCCTGGCCTGCAGGTGTCTGCTGAGATGTTGCTTAAGTTTATCCAGTCTCCACAGACCAGCTGCTGCAGGGCAAGGTCCCTGGTTCCCTTCGCCCACAGCCCACTGGTTTCCTGTCTGGTCCGTTCACATTTAGGATCGTGGCACTTAGGACAGTTAGAGAAAGCAGCGTGCTGCCCACCTTTGGGCCCTTTGATTAGTCTACTTCTCTGAACGCAAAGATACATAAACTTGTGGGGCCACCAGTTGTTCAGGTGAGTGCTTTGTGGCAGCCAGACACCCAACTGGTTGGATTTCTTTCTATTGCGGGTGACCTAAAGCTCACACAAACCCTCTTTGAGGAAGGTGACCTTGGACCTCACACAATACCCTACGGACCCTGTTATTACCCTCACATACATTTACTGACAAGTTAGAGCAAAGTCCAGTGCTTTGCTAAGTGCTTCCAAATACATCATAATCATCAGAACAGCATTGAAATAGTTACTATCAGCCTCGAATTTTAATTAAGGGGCGACTGAGGCTCCCTGAGGTCAAGTAACTTGCCCAAGGTCACAAAATGAAAAAAAAGAGCTGGGACTTAGCTCCAGTTCTGCCTGATGCAAAACTGGGACCCTGAAACACTGCGCCAGCACTCCCCCAACTTCACGGGCACACGCATCAGTCGGGCATCTGGTTAAACACCGATGCTGATTCAGCAAGTCTAGCACCTGGGTTCCTACCAGCTCCCGAAGGTGGTGCTCATGCCACTGGTCCCAGCACCACAGTGTGAGTAGTGGGTGCTGAGATCCACAGAACTAGCAGAGGTGGGAGGAAGCAGACACTTCTCTGTTGGTGAGTGCCTAACCTGGTACGGTCTCTTAGGAAGTGTCTATCAAAATTAAAAAAAAATGTACATACTCACAATTTAGTAGTGATGCTCTAAGAATAAGTACTCTAGAAAAATGCACACACGCGTATAAACAGATGATGGCTCCACCATCCAACAATTGCTAACAGCCATTATATGCACAGGGTGGGGCAAAAGTAGGTTTACAATTATTCTTATGGAAAATAATACAATGATAGCCCTGGCTGGCGTAGCTCAGTGGATTGAGATCGGGCTGCGAACCAAAGCATTGCAGGTTCGATTCCCAAACAGCGCACATGCCTGGGTTGCAGGTCATGGCCCCCAGCAACCGCACATTGATGTTTCTCTCTCTCCCCACCTCCCTTCCCTCTAAAAAGAAATAAATAAATCTTTAAAAAAGGAAAATAATACAATGATTAATAAATCATAATACAAGAATAAACTCTTTCACATGCTTGCAACTGTAAACCTACTTTTGCCCCTCCCTGTACATGAAGTATTTCCCAAGATTCACTAGGTAAAAAGGAAAAAGCAAAGTCCAAAACAGTGTGTGGGGTATACTTCCATTTGAGGTCAGAGACATGCTCATGTGGATACAATGCTTGTTTGCTTTCTTGTAGGTAAAACACCGCTGGGAAGGACGCAGGGAACTGTGAACCGTGGTTGTCTCTGGGGTGGTGGGGACAGAGAAGGGAGGCAGGGAGGGGGACCTACTTTCTACCATTTTTCCCTTGGTTCCTTTTCTCTGCTTAACCATGTGGTCGCACTTCCTCAGTGGAAACAAACCTCCCTGGGGGCCGAGGAGCGGGAGGCTGAAATGCTGTTCAGGGCAGTGGTGCTGCCCTGGCTGATGCTGTGCCCTCGATGCTACCAGGTCTGGCTCAAGAACAGGGAGAGCCTGATGTTTGTAAATTTGTGCTTAAATGGAAGCACCTGGATCATTGTGGTAAGCTTTCCCCAAATGGGACCTAAGCCCCAAGGGGGAAAAATGCTTAGGGGCCTAGCCAGAAGGGCGTTTTCCGCCTTTTGTGAACAGGGTCACTGCAGCCATGCATCCCCCCCATACGGGACCCTGGGGACTAAGGGAAGCACAGCTGAGACTGCCTTCATCTGTGGGGTCACATCACTTCCAAAAGATTCCCTCCGCTTGGCTAATTAAATCAGGACTCTTATCTAACCGGTGGGTGGGGGTGTGTGGCAGGGTGTGTGGGGGCCGTCCCTCCCACCAGGAACAGACTGGAGTGCTGTGCAAATCTCTCGCGAAGGAAGAAAGGAAGACTGAGATTAAGGGAAGGAGGCAAAGGGCCAGGTGTTCCTTCTGGAGGGGTGGCAGGGGCCGTGCCCACAGCAGCGAGTGGTGGTGATGTTTGGGGGATACTCGGGTCGCCGATGCAAATTTTAAGATTAGGAAAAGGTTCTTTGGTCTGATGGTTCTGGATAGCATTTGGCAAGGGGCACTTCTAAACAAAGACTCTCTGCTCCCATCATGGCTGCTTACTGTTGCTGGGCGGGGCGGGGCATTTCGTTGTCTGTCCGCCCATAGTATTGACCGCTGGCTCAGCACTCACCACGTTCCTGAGTACGTTGCCCTACCCTGAAGGCACACATTTTATAGCAGCCAATTAGGCAAAAGATAACCCATGCTTCATTGTTTTTTTGCAGTAAAATAAAAAAGCCAGCCTTTGCTGTTCTCATGGAGACTCATGATATTTTTGATTTAGAACAAAGAGCCAGGGAGACCAAGGCTGGGCTCCTTCAGCGTGTGGTCGGGGGCTTCACCGCGACTTGCCAGTTCTGGCTGCGTCTTTGAAGGGCAGGTCCAGACCCGGTGGTGCCGGCGGATGGTCAGACCGGACTGAATGCCCGGTGGGCAGGGGGCAGAGGAGGCAAGCCCCGAGAGCTGGCCGAGAGTGGGAGGGGTGGGAGCTGGGGGATCCTTGGGGGCTACCCCAGACATTGTCCAGGGACTGACTCAAGGACCTGCCACTCTGGCCACAGATATTTTTATAGATACATATTTTTAAAGATCTTATTTATTCATTGTTAGAGAAAGGGGAAGAGAGGGAGAAGGAGAGGGAGAGAAACATCAATGTATGGTTGCCTCTTGCACACCTCCCACTGGGGACCTGGCCTGCAACCCAGGCATGTGCCCTGACTGAGAATTGAACCAGCGACCCTTTGGTTTGCAGGCCTACGCTTAATCCACTGAGCCATACCAGCCAGGGCTAGCCACAGATATTTCACAGGTGGTGTCAGAGCCGGATGAGGCAGTGTAAGTCACTCCCTTCAGCCAACTCCCTCCAAGCTGGAGAAGGGGCCTATTTGAGCCAAAGGCAGACTATTTCCTAGTCGGGGTGGCTGGGCATGCTTCCAGAGGTTCTCTGTCTGGGTTGCTCACTAGAATCATCAGAAATAAAAATATGAATGCTCAGGCCCTGCTGTAGACCAAATATACCAGAATCCCAGGGGAGGGGGCTCAGCATTGTTTTTATTAAAAAATTCCAATTTTTCTTCCATGTCTCCAGATACGTGAGCATGTGTCCGAAGCAGAGAGCTTTCTGTCAGAAAGATTATTTAAACCCTCTGTTAGTTACCCATCCATCTAGAAGGCATGATTTCAATGGTTAAATCCTCAAAAGAAACTCAGGAGGCAGAACTCTTTAAAGATGGGAACGCTGAGCCCTGGCATGGTGGCTTGGTTGGTTGCCGTGTTGTTCTGTCCACCAAAAGGTTGTGGGGTTGACCAGGTCAGGGCACACACAGGAGGCAACCAATCGTGCTCTCTCTCATTGATGTATGTATGTATGTATGTCTGTATCTATCTATCTATCTCTCTCTCTCTCACTGTGTGTGTGTTAATGAGAATAAATCCTGGTAGGAAATTCACTGGAAGGATCATTTTGAAAATCTAATTTTCTAGTGATGGGATAATGGCACTTTAGGTTCCTCTTGAAGCGTGTGACTTGTTCAAGATGCTGGGGTTCCCTGTGCCCTTTTCAGGAAGTGCAGAAGATTCCAGATGACGTGTCCCCTAGAGAAAGAGCTTGGTGCAGAGGAATGTGGAATGGGACAGAAGTCAGAGGCCCCGGTTCTGGCTGTGACTGCTAGGGGATGCTGTGAAATCTTGGAGAAGAAACTCAATTCCTTCACCTGCAACCTGGACATTTAGTGATGAGTGTCCCAGTGGATCAAATGTGAAGGGACTGTATGCAGAAAGCCCCAGACCAAAGCTGCAGGGTCGAATGACCACAGGGGTCAGGAAGGTAAGCAAAAGGAGTTTGGACATGGGTAATTTTGACGTAGAGGTTCTTTGCTTCGTAATAATTTAAGACACTTTCTGATGATAAGCCAGTAACCTTATCTTTTGTCTTTCCACTTTATGGAAACAGGGGCATGGCAAATATTTCTCTTTCCTCTTACCCGTATCATTGGGAAAACACGCATAATGAACACGCTGGCTCTCGGCTCAGTGACGGGGACACACAGAGAAGCGGGGTAGGGGACCGTGATGAACTGAGGATGACGTGCCCAGTTTAAACGGCATCAACTCTGTAATGTGAGCAGTTACTTCCACATGGAAGTGCCGGCTCAGTGTGGAGAATTTTCCCAATTCCATTTTTAAAAGAGAAGCCCTAACTCTATGTTTATACGAAACCTCCCGATTTCTAAATACTGAGCTTTGGGATTTAACAAGAATGGCGCAAGCTCAGGAGAACGGGTGGGAGGATTGGACACAAGACCAAGGGCTGGCATCCTGGGAGCCCTTCCGGGCTCACACCGCCCCTCCCCATCTCTCCCCAACAGAGACCACGTGCAAATCCAAGAGGAAACGGCAGGACTTACTATGGAGCTGCTGAAGGCCACCGGGGACTGTGCGTTTTCCCAGCGCCCGACCGACCTTTGTCGGGAGTGGCTCTGCATGGGCACCTGGGCGCTCTGGCTCCTCCTCAGAGGCTGGCCCCCGCCTTGGCTCCTTGTGGCTGCCGGACCCTGGGCCCTCCTGGATGGGAAGGACAGGCACTGGTATTGGGTCCACTCTTCACTGTCCGAGTCCAGCTCCTTTGGGATCTCCAGTCGCTTGGCTGTAAGAAAGGAATCCTGTTGTTGCCCCCGTCACACCTTGGCTGGAGCGTGGTGGGGGCGACCCCAGACTTGGGGCGTGGAGGTCAGAACACAGATGAAGAACACGGTGCTGCTCTGAAAAGTGGGGAGCTGGCTGCCCTGACTGGAGACAGGGGTGCAACCAAATGACAGGTTCGAACCCTGGCTCTACTACCTCCTAGTGATGTGGCGTTGAGCTTCGGCTATACCCGTGCCTCTGTTTCCTCAGGAGTTTCAAAAAAGTACCAAACTATGAGGGCTGTTTTGAAGCGCAGAACGCTCTGAGTCTGATAATGGTAGCTGTTTGGATTATTAGAAAGGATCAGGAGCTCCCATGTGAATGGTTAGCATCGTGGCAAGGGGAACTGCGTTCCCTCGAATGTCTCCACCTTTCTCTTTCTCCATCCGCCCCACCCAAAAGAAGGAATGCTGCTTTCTTGAGAGTTCCTTCTCTCAGTTAAAACGTGTGTGCATGGGGCGGGGCCGGGCAGGCAGATCGGGGCAGCTGAGGGAATCAGGTCAGTTTTAAAGGTCACCTTCCGTCCACGTGAGATGACAGTCCCGGCATTTTATAGCCCTATCTCCTACGCTGAAGCTTTGCCTCTGAACATCCAAGGGATCAGCTAGCATGGAAGGCATTTCCTGGATGGGTCCACCTGACCACGCATCTAGACCTAGGCCTGTCCACTCAGGTAAGGTGAACCGAGAAAATCTTACACCTTGGAACCTAACTGGGACGTGCGGCAGGGCCCCACACAGGCGGGCCCTGATAGCCTCGTGAACCAATACGGGTTTGCAGGTAATGAAAGCAGCTCCGATCTGCGACACGGAAGCCACAGGGATAGAGGACGCTGCTCTCTGCAAGCCGTGCCACCACTGTGGAGAGCCAGGGTGAAGTCTTGGACCCCCTTTCTCTAGGAGAGCGGGATGATCCCCTTAGCGAGAAGGACGCGGAGCCCTGGGAGGCCACATACCATTTTCCTGGTGAGAATACTCGCTGCCCACGATGGTGCAGCGCCGGAACACCATCTTGTTCTCCGTCAGCGTCCCCGTCTTGTCAGAGAAGACGTACTGGATCTGGCCCAGGTCCTCCGTGATGTTGAGGGCCCGGCACTGAATGGGCGAGTCAGTCTCTTCGTCGTACAGGTCGAGGTCGTTGTGCAGGAAGAAGACTTGCCCGAGCTTCACCAGCTCGATGGACACGTACAGCGAGATCGGGATCAGCACCTGCGAGAGATCGAGTCCCGCCCAGTCAGGCACCAGGTGGGGTCCTTGTCTCGGGACCCTGTCCGGTGGGTGGCAAAGGCTTTCCATGGAAAGCTGAGGTTGGCGCACATGGTGCATGTGCTCTGAGAAAGGAAAGGTTAATGACTCCGTGTGTCCCTTGAAATTCTTAGGGGGATCTGAAAAAGACACGCTTTCTTCCAGCAGGCGAGTCTGGGATGAGGCGGGCACTCGCCCCTGGGTGTTTAATGTGGAGTGGGGAGCAGGTGAGGTGCTCTGTGCAGCACCCCCGGACTCCTCCCTTGGATCTCAGTGTCACTGAGGGTGGCCTCCCATTTGACAGGGATTCACACCTATTGTTGACAGCTGGCCACGGACTCGATGACTAGTATCTACGGAGCACTTCCTGTGTGTCACCTGTCATTCTAGGTCCTGGACACGGCAGTGAGCAGAACACTATCCCTGGCCTTGAAGACCTCAAATGCCAACAGACATAAATATGTATCAGGGGGTGGTAAGTCTCATAAAGAAAAAGTCAAGAGGTAGAGGGTGATGGCTGGGAGGGACGCTGGAGTGGACGCCTGAAGGTGAGGGTGTGTCTCGAGGCTACCTGTGGGAGGAGGAGCATTCCGGGCAAACGCTGGGCACTGGGAGCGGCCAGCTGTTTGGCAGGTGAGAGTAGGCCCGTGAGTGAGCAGGCCAGGGAGGGAGGGGGTCAGGGTGCAGATCACTCAGGGCTGGTTGGCTGCCGGCTGGACTTTGGATTCCACCCCAAGAGGGTGCGCAACCACTGGAGAGGCCTGTGCAGAGCAGGGGTGTGACCTGATCCACATGTAGAAAGGATTACTCTGCTAAACGAATGAATGAACCGATGACTCGATAACATTCACCAGTAAGAGGACAACGAACCGCCCTCAAACAGTGCAAGACATTAAATGCAGACAAAGTCTCCTCGTCTTTTCATAGATTGTAATTTCTTTCAGAGCCTGAGGATTTTTTCTTCCTTCTCTCACATAGGTGCTCTGTGTTTTTGTTTCTGTCTCCTATATAGGGTCAGTTCCTTTTTTAAAACAATTTAAAATCTTGACTTATCAAATGCTAAAGCACCTGTGATTTCTTTCTCTCAATATTTAGGGCTGGACAGTTCTTGAGCGTTCTCTATGCTGCTTTAGCTTATTCCCACGTGCTGGGTTTCACCTGTTCAGTGCCTGGCAAAGGGGCAGGCACACATGGGTCCCTGCTGTAATCTTGCTCTTATGTAGAAGAGCCTGATGAATATTTTTCTCCGCTAGTAGCCGGGGGCAAGTTTCTCTCACAAAGCAGGCCTGGTCCTGCCTTGGCCCCCAATGTAAATATTTTCAAAGACCCACACGAAAGCAACAAACATCTCCCTATCTCAGTCCCATTAGTTCTTTCTTGGGGCTGGCATTGATTTTTATTTCATAGAGTTGTACAGGTATTGACCACAGGTTTCTTAACCATTAGTGAGAGAGGGCTTCCTACCTGGAGCAGGATGATCATCGTGAGGAACATGTAGAAGCCCTCCAGGGCGAGGGGTAGGAAGCTGCCCTTGGCATCTGGCACGTCGAAGGGAGGGTGCTCCCTGAAGGTCCTGTTCCACAGGCTGTGGCCTGAGAGGAGACAAAGCCAGCATGAGGCGGAATCTCCACTTAGTCCAGAGGTCGGTCAGTTGCCTCAGCCCTTGACCTATTTCTGGAAATGAGTGTGCTTTGGAGGAGCCCACCCCTACTCTATATAATCTAGCTCTGTGTGTGTGTGTGTGTGTGTGTGTGTGTGTGTGTGTGTGTGTTCCTTTAGCTCTGCAGTGGTCCTTCCTGTAGCCTACACATCAGCCTCTCGATAGGCATCATGTCTGTCTCACCAAAGGAGACTAGCATGGGCATTACTTACATCCCCATGAAGTTGTTATATCGGGTTTGGAAAAAGGGAAAGGGGCACGAGTTCTTTTCAGTTGTGTGGTCCAAAGTGCCTGGTTGGGGAGTCCCGACTGACCTTTGCCTAGTCTCTTCCCCTACGCATGTCCTCGTCCATCTACCCACCCATCCACTCATTCTCCTACTCATCCATCCTCAGTTCATCCATCCCTCCATCCATCCATCTCTCTATCCATCCCTCTTTCTATCCATCTATCTCTCCATCCATCCATCCCTCCCTCTATCCCTCTATCCGTCCATCCCTCCAACCATCCTCCCCTGCTGTCTGACATTTATCAGTTCAAGAAGGAATTGGTCCTAGTCCTTGTCCTTGAGGAGTTCCCTACCAAGTCAGGGAGTCAGATGTGCAGGGACAAGTCCCCTATGGCGTGAGAGGTGCTGTGCCAGAGCCTGCAATGCTCTGCGAGCACCTGGTGCAGGCTGAGCCCTCTGTTTCTCTGTCTGCAAACGGGGAGGAGAACACCCATCATCTGAAGATTAATCAGATGAAGTGCATCCAGCACCTGCTAGCCTCTCCCTGGGTCTCAGCATCCTCATCTGCCAGTTTGTAGTAATACCTTCTCCTTAGGGTTATTGTGAGGCTAGAATAACCTAAATGTGTATAATGCTCTCAGCTCTGGAGTAGGCACTATAGGGACTAAAAAATAAAATACTGCCCAGCCCCCAACATGCTTCTTTTCCCAGGAGGTTGGGCCAGATGCTATCATACGTGGCAGGAGAAGGGAGACTCCCAGGCATGAGGTTCGGGGCCAACGCATGGTGCAGAGTAAGGGCCACTGGCCTTCAGAGGAGCCAGAGACCCTGGGAGAAGCCAGAAAAGGCTGCATAGTGGGGGAGGCCTTGCAGGGTCCTGGAGCCTGGGTGGGTATGGGGTGCTCAGAAAGGCCTGGGAGGGCATGTTTGGAGGAAAAAAAAAGACACAACTGCTACACAATCAAGGTAAACATGTGATAAAGAACCCGGAATGGCGTTGGCTAAGAGCTTTCCCGTCCTGCAGGGCCGTCTCTGTGCATTAGTCATTGCTCTCAGGAAGAATAGGATTCTGCCTCTCCCATGCCTTCTCAATTTATTTATCATGCGGGCCATCTGCCAAGCTACTTCTGGCTTGTCTGTACCTTATCTCACTGCGTGACCTTTATAATCATTAACTCCCTTTCTCTAGAGACACAGTGAGATGATCTCAAACGTCCTCTCCAGCTCTGACACTCCTTGAAAAGCAAGTCCTGAAGCAAAGGCGACAGTTCCTGCAGAGTCTCAGAATGCATGACGTGGCCACACAGGGTCGGTTTCCCTGCTTGTCTGTGTCCCTCCCTCCAGGTGCCCTCCTCCCAGCCGTGGGCCACTCGCATGGGGACTGCCACTAGACAGGTATGGGAAGGATTAATCAAACACGGCAGGCCGTCCAGAGGACTAAATTCCACCGTCTTCCCAGTGGCGGCACACACACGCTCTCCAGGCCCCAGGAAGGTCTTAGCCTTAGACACTCTCCTTTAAAACCAGCGAAGGGGACGGTAGCTGACGCAGGCGACAGAAGAGCGAACATCACCAGGGCTCCCGGTGTGGGGGTCAGCAGGGGGTTCTGGACTCGGCATGGGAGTTCTCCCTCTTGTCCTTCCTTGGAGCTTTTTAGGGACTCCTTAAGGGTTCCGAGAACTATCCTGAGAGATAACCTTAGTGGGGGCAGAGCGGGTGAGAGCGGGGGTCCCTCAGTGCCTACACTCCGAGGCTCAAGATGAACGGCTTGGACTGCTCGCACCTTGCCTCCCTCGGCTCTCCACCCTGCGCAGGTGGGGAGCTCGGCCCGGCTAGGTTCCCACCGGGTCTCCATTCTTGCCTTGCTCTCGCCACACCAAACAGCCAAATGCTCCTCTGTCCAAACGGACTGCCTTTTCTACCTCTGTGCTGTCACTGGGGCAAGGGGACCTCTCTCCTCTCTCACTTTTCACCTCTGCCCGCCCCTCCTGCCCCTGCCCCCACCTACTGACCTTCTCTGAGAATGCCTACTGCCCCCTGACGCTTCCACCACACCTGTGGCCTTCAGTCGTGTGAATGACGCCCCCTAAGATGTCTACGTCCCTAGCCCTGGGGCCTGGGGATACGCTCTTACATGGCAAAAGGAACTTTATAGATGCAGTTGATTAAGTTAAGGATCTTGAGATAAGGAAGAGTATCCGGGGTCATCTGGTGGGCCCCATGGTGTAATTACAAGTGTCCTTATAAACGGGAGGCAGAGGGGGAAAAATGTGAGGAGAGTGAGACATGAATTATCAGAGTGTGCTGGCGGAGTAACGTGCACTGATGACGGGGGGAGGAGCCACAGACCAAGGCACACAGGTGGTCGCTGGAAGCTGAAAAGACGAGGGGCAGATTCGCCCTCCGGGGCCCCCAGAAGGAGGCAGGCCTGCCAACCTCTTGGTCTTATTACGGTGATATCGATCTTGGGCTTCTGAACCCCAGAGCTAACAGAATAGATTGTGCTATTCTTTTTTTTTTTTAATGCTTTTTAAAAAAGATTTTATTTATTTTTAGAGAGGGAAGAGAGGGAGAAAGAGAGAGAGAAACATCAATGTGTGGTTGCTGGGGCCCGTGGCCTGCAGCCCAGGCATGTGCCCTGACTGGGAATTGAACCTGCGATGCTTTGGTTCGCAGCCCGTGCTCAATCCACTGAGCTATACCAGCCAGGGCAGATTGTGCTATTCTAAACCAATAAGTTTGTGCTAAGTTTTTGCAGCAGCCACAGGAGATGAATACGGTACTTGCGTGTGGCCCTCCGCGAGGGGATAGACTGCTACGGGCCCCGTCCACGTGCCGGCCCCTTCCCGCTGGACCAGGAGCTCCAACACACTCACCTTGCTCTGGCCTCTCACGCTAAGAGAGGCCTGGCTTCAGTGAGCATTTCTCAGACGAATTAATAATAGATGACATTCCTAATAGTTTCAGTAATTAGTACTTCCAGGAGATTTTCACACGCATTTTTAGATCACTGGTCTCTTGTGACAGGACAGGGGAGGCCTTAGGTTTCATGAACTCTACTTTATAGATGAGGAAACTGAGGCTCAGAGAGTGGAAGAAAAAGGTGACTGTGGTAGTGTGTGTTGTTCTTTCCAGAACATTCCATACCTATCGCTCCGATGAGGCACATGAGGAAGAGGAGCCCGATGCAGAAGAAGATATCGGTGTTCATGCGGCGCTCGATCTTGCTGCGTTTGTACCGCGGGCCGCTGTTGTTCAGCATGGCTTTCGTCTCGTGGCCTTTGAGCAAAAATGAGGTTGTCAGTCTCCTGGCCCCCGTCTGTCTCTGGCCCGGATCACAGCCTGGGCTCTTTTCACCGGAGCCCACAGCCCCGGGGCGGGTTGGGGGGGCCTTCCTCCCCCAACCTGCCTCTGCCCTGCCTCAGGGGGCCTGCGGAGAACCGCTGCAGCCGCTGCACTTTACTGAGCATCCTGACATGCCGGGCGCTGGGGGGCGCTGGAGAGCTGCCATGCTAGGGCTGTGCCCTGCACAGCTCTAGAGGTACCCCTCATTTGGCAGTTGTCATCGATTTGTAAGTTCCTGGTGGCCCATTTCTGGCGAACGGCAGTAAGCTGTTTTGAGGAAGGGCTTAAGCTGTTTTGAGGAAGGGCTATCTTTTTCCAACGTGCACAAAGGCACTGTTAGGGGCTAGTGGTGGTATACAGTGCGAAGACAGATGACTCACCTTCTGGTGAAAATATACAAGGAAATAAATAAATAACTACAGTTAGTAACACGTCCCATGAAATACACAGTCAACAAAAGGCTAGTAAATGAGATGGTTTCAGAGAACATGATCATGGAAGGCCCCTTGGAAGAGACCCCATTTGAAGAAGACTTGAAGGGAGAGAGAAGAGTTGGGAGAAGAGGATGGGGAACAGTAGGTGCCAAGGCCCTGGGGCAGGGCACTGCTCGGGGCCAGCTGTTTTCACGTTTGTCTCCTTGTCTAAGGTGTGGGCGTGGCTTGGGCAGGAGCGGTCAGGCCTGAGGCCCCCACTCTGACATTAATTCTGTGCAGCGACACTCCTGCCTTGGAGTTCTGCATCCAGAACATTTGGTTCAAAGAAAGGACAACAAAATCGGAAAACTACCCATCTCATCCAATCACCCCTTTTTCTAGTTGGAGAAAAGTACAAGGGACTTGCCTAAGATGAAAGGATAAATCAGTGCCAGAGCCATGCAGAGCACCCCGGGTCCCGATTCCCAGCCTACTTCTCCTCCGACCAGCACACGGCTGAGAGTCGAGCCGAGACTCTGTCTTCAGACAGAGCCTGTGCGTGGGAACTGCTACATTTTAACTACTATGCTGCCCTCCTCAGCACTCAAGTGACAAGCCACCAATTACATCTTTTCTGTGCACAATTAAAGTAGACTAATGTATCAGCTCCAGCAGTGAACGAGTTTAACGCTGTTCAGCTAGTTGCCCTGTGGATTTAAAGGGCAACGAGCCGTAGGAGCGAGCAAACTGTAGGCCTGCTGAATGGGACTGGAGTCGCTGTGGTTGCGAGGGGCATTCCACAGCACGGCGAGCACAGGCCGACTGTGCCGATGACACTGCGCCTTCCCGCCTGCCTCAGGGTCACTCCACACGGGGGGGCTGGGACCACCCTCTTCAAATACCTGCTCCTCCTCACCTCCGGGATCCCTCTGTCTTTGCAGCCAAAGTTGGCCTCAAGGGGTGGGGGGCAGTGTGGTGCAGCAGTTAGAACATGGCTCTAGAGTCAGAGTTAGACTCTGCAGATACTTGACCTTGGGTTACGTGGACTTAATCTTAGGAGACAAGTGACCTCAAGTGACTTAACCCCTTGGCACCTCCATTTCCAGTGTGTAAAGTGGGAGATAGTGGTTGCATATGTGTGTTTGGGGTGGGGGAGTGGATTCATATACACAGAGCACCTAAAGGCATTGCTTGTCCACAGCAGGGGCGCACACCTCTGCACTGGGTCTCTCCCCTGCAAAGCTCAGCTTGGCTTTTTTGGGCTTTGACACTGAGCTGCTCCAGTGTTGCCCATCCGTAGTCTCCAGGGAGAGACTCTGGACCTGTCGTTCTCGACCAGGGGGACTGAACTCCTCAGAAGACATTTGGCGATGCCTTGAGAATTTTGGCTGTCACATCTTGAGAAGGCAGTGCCAACGGCATCCAGTGGGTGGAGGCCAGGGGTGCTGCCCCACACCCCACAGGGCAGCCCCCGGCACAGAGGACAGCCTGGGCCCACACGTCAGCTGTGCCGAGGCTGAGCACCCCTGCTCCAGGTGACAACACTGGAAACCATTAGTGCCCTTCTTACTCACGCTTTTGAGAGCTTAACATGCGCCAGGCATGTTGGCCCCTTCACAGATCATTTCATGGGAACCTTGTGACACTCCAAGGCAGGAACTCTCAGTCCCCCTGTGTTGAAAGCCTAGCCAACTAGCACAGAAACATTCAGCCAGTGAGTGGATTGCACCGCAGGCAGCCTGATGCCCCCAGAGCCACGGTGAACTCTCTCTCCAAATCTGTCCCCTCGGGTACCACTCCCAGGGCCCCCACAGCGCTGCTTCTTTGTTTCTGACCACTCAGAGAGGCCAACTCCACGCCTGTGTGGGGTTTCTTGGTGGGATGGAGGTTATCTTTAGTGTGTCTGCCGGAAGGCACTGGACTCCATTACCGAAGACCATTACAGTCACCTGGACCAACAAATACGACCTCCTTTCCCCCAAGTGAGAAAATGTTTAAACATTTTTTTCTCTGGCAGTCCTAAAAACGATTCTTAGATAGACTGATACCTAAAATGCTCTTCTATGTCCATCAAAAGTGGGGTTCTACTCAGACAAAAAAAAATAAATCAAACAATACAACAAGCAAACTAAATATTACAAGGTGTCCCAGTGAGTGGAAGACCCAGGGAAATGTATTCTGGAGTCTTCCAGCGAAAGTGGACACCTCGGGGAGACTGTTTCCCCTCCAGGGGAAGGAGTCTGCAGTTGCTAACATAACAACAGACAGTTACTGAGAGCCCACGGGGCACCGGGCTCTGCATTCCAGCGATACAGCAGTCTTAAGACTACCCTCTAAGACTTTAGATTTCATAGTAAGAAATGTTGCTTTTTTTTTTTTTAAGAAAGCAAAATTGCAGCAGCAAGGAGAGACAAACCACCATAACTGAAGCCATAAAATGAATAAAGATAACAATAAAAACTTAACTGAAAAAAATACAGTGACAGCCAGTCTCGCCTTGGCGCACTAGACACAGTGCGTCTCCTGTGTTGGAGACACATTTGGTCCTCGTGAGTACTCTGAGGCAGATACAGGCATTTTCCCCATTGTATAGATGAGGAAACCAAGGCATGAAAGATGAAGTTATTCAGTTTGATGAGGTTATTCCTCAGGCTCCACAAGATATACTTCATCTTGCCTATTAGTGTTGCAAAACCATTTGGGGTGAATGATCGGGAATCTCCTTGTCTTGTTCAGTTGCGTGACAGTCACTTGGACTCTAATTATGTCTCCTGTGAACTGAATGAGCAGCTGGGATTCCAGCCTCAGTTGGCTTAGCTGAGAAATGGGAAGTTTATGTGACTCTACCCCTGGGAATTAATGGGAGTTCCCCCTGACTTGGAGGTGGATTTGGAGGAGGGGACAGAGGAGGAAAGATAAAGGAGAGGGACAAAAGGAACTGTCACCTGCATAGATGACGATGCCAGCAGCCACCTCGGTGTTTCGGATGGTGCAGCCTCGAAGCAGAAGACTCTCACTGCCAAAGCCGGTCCTGGTCTGGTCAGGGCGCTCCCTGGGGATGAGGAAGGACAGGGGGCAGTTTGGTGGCCTCGATGGCATCCCAGAACTAGAAGTGGTGAGTGAACATGACCCCCGCCCTCCCTCTTTTTCAGAAGAGCTATATTAACTCGGAATCTAACCTCTGCATTCTAGTGCAACTTCTGGTTGCTGCTGGGAGGCTGGACCATTATTAGAAGGGAATTACCAGCCCTGGCTGGTGTAGCTCAGTGGATTGAGCTCGGGCTGCAAACCAAAGTGTCACAGGTTCGATTCCCAGTCAGGGTACATACCTGGATTGCAGGCCATGGCCCCCAGCAACCGCACATTGATGTTTCTCTCTCTCTCTCTCTCTCTCTCTCCCCCTCCCTTCCCTCTCTAAAAATAAATAAGTAAAATTAAAAAAAAAAAGAAGGGAATGACCCACCCCTAGGAAAGCCCTCGTTTGCCCACCTGAAGAGCAGTACTCTGAAAAAGCCTGAAAACCGTTTGTGGGGAAACTGGCTTCTGGCCCTCCGAGGACTGCGTTGTGTTCCCTTCAGGCTGGGTTCACCTGCCCGCTGTCCCCTAGTGGCTGGGACCGGAACTGCACCGGCTGACCCTCCGCGTCCACAGCAGACACCAGGCAGACAGTCCTGCCTCTGGCAGGGGAGCCAGGTAAGGAAGGGCCGCTGGCGGGCTCCTCTCCTTCCAGCTCCTTCTCCCACTGGCCCAGCTCCTGAACTATCCTCCTCTGGCTCCATCACTGGAAGTGGACCGTGGCCCTCAGTGCAATATACAGGGAGGTGGCTTCTTAAAGCAGGACAGAGTTTTTTCCTCGCTCTGGCCTCAGGGAGCATTGCACTTTTCACCCCACGGTAGAGAATTCCGGGTCCAGGCGACACCAGTGATTACTTCATGTCTGGCCCTTATTGCACCTGGATGGCTTTCCTTTGGGATTTTTAGGAAGTTTAAATATAACTTCCCCACAACACTGGGGAGACCAAAAACAATAATCTGAACCTTCAGGGCTTTTCCCTCCTTCTAGCTCTCCAGTAGTTCATTTTCTGGGGCTGGTATATGTGTTTTTCATGTATCAAATCAATCATCATGATGGCTTTCTAAGATTGGAAAATGCAACTTTTAAACAAAAAAGACCTCTATAGAGGTCTTTTTATATATTTTATAGAGGTCTTTTGTGATCACATAGACCTCTATGTGATCACACCCACGATATGGACAGGGAAACTGAGGCAAGTTCATAGACCTACTAAGGGACAGATCAGAGAGTCAAACACAGCACGTCAATATGCCTTTCAATACTAATTATTCCTCACTGTGCTTATAAACTGCCTTTCCTCATGGCATTTGACCCCTCAAGGCTCTGGGAAGTAAGCAGGGTGATTACCCTTCCTTGTGAAAAGGGTAAGGGAAGGTCAGAGAGGGTGACGGATTTTTCTGAAGACACACACACCTCGTGAGATATCCCAGGACTTGGGCACTCGGGGCCCACGTGACCCCGACCCTTACTTGGGTTCACTGCCCGAGGGTTTGCAAAGCGGGGCCCCGTTACCTTACACTGAATCAGAGTCACTTTCCTGCGCTGTTCTTCTGAATTTAACAGGGCCATGTCTCCGTTTGGTGCTAGTATATTGCTAACTTTTTTCTAGCACTTCTGTGTCTAACTTTTCCACACAGGGAGGCTTGGGCCAACGATCGTCTGTAGGCAGAGCAGCCTCTCTCCACCCTGACACTGCTGGCGCCTTAGGCGCGTTCACTCTTTGTTGCCGGACCGTCCTGTGCCTTGCAGGTTGTTCCGCAGCGTCTCTGGGCTCTCCCCACCACGTGCCGGCAGCCCCCTCCCAAAGTGTGACAACCAACAATGTCTCTAGGCATTGTAAAGATTCCCTTGCGGTGGCAGAGGGGGTGGGTATTGCTCCTTTTTGAGAACCATGGCTCTATAGAGGTCTTTTTTGTTTAAAAGTTGCATTTTCCAATCTGACACCCCTAACCCTCAATCAGAGCATTAAAAAGGATGCAGGACCACAGCGGATAATTCTCCATCATTCTCTGGTTGGCTTCTGGGCTGACCAACTAGACTTTTAGGGCTCACCCCTGAGGCCTGGGCAGGTGGGGGAAGGCATCTCTAGGGGCAGCCGCCAAGAAGAGGGAGTGCTGGGGGTTAGGTGGGAGAGTTCTGCCTGAGGTGGGGGGATGGACCCAGGAGGAAGCTCAGCCAGGCTGGCTGTGGCCCGAGCTGTTTGGGACAGGACAGAAACCCAGCGATGAGGCTGCTCTGGAAGAGGAAGGAGAGCGACTCCAGGAGCAGGTGACGCGCGATGAACCCAATCCACAAACCTCGGGTGTGACTCCTTGCTGGGGGGCAGGTGGCAAGCTCTACCTTGCCAGATCCCTGCCACGAACCCTCCTCTCCCCCAGGAGTCCACGCCCTTCTCTGCCTCCATCTGCTCGCTCTGTGGTCTCAAAAGGTCAGTGGTGTTTCAAAGCTGCTCTTCCTCTCGGGTTGTTCTGACCCCTGTCCTCTCGCACTGCTCTTCACGACACCCCATATGGCCTGGGGAAATGCGGATGGAGGGGCAGCATCGACACTGGCCTCCCCACTCCAGGACAGTGGGCAGGCCGCCACAGCAGGGCTGACCTTAAGGAACACACTGGGGTGGGGGGTGGGGGGGGTGGTGTGAAAACACCCGGATGTAAATCCTGGCTTCGTCCTATGCCTGCTGCGCACCTTCAGGTGAATCCTGAACAGTCTTAGATCATCAGATCCCCTATCTGAAAAATGAAATCATTTCTCCCTGGGTTGCTGTGCGGATTGAATGCGATGATGTTCTGTGAAACTACTCTAAAACCTGTTAAGGCACTATATGAGGGCATTTATTCATATCTGTTACCTTTTTTTTTTTTTTTTTTAGTAAGACCAATAGTCTGATGTGAGAGCAGAATTTCAGTAAAATTCTCAGGCTGAACCAAAGTCGAGGAACAAGAATAGCAGTGATTGCCTCAGCAGCGGCCACCATTAACTGAATACTCACTCCGCCCGTGGCTGTGGTAAGGGCTTTGCATAGGATAAACAATTTTATTCTTTGGAAGGAAAAATCCTGTGATGTAGGTAATTATAATCTTCATTTTACAGATGTGAAAACTAAGGCCCAGAGAGGTTAATTAATTTACTCAGGGTCACACAGCTTGGATAGAATCCAAGTGATAGAATCTGATTTCAAACCTAGGTCTGTCGAACTCCAAAGTCCTTGTTCTTACCTGCAATGCAATACAGGGTCTTTCAGAAAACCAATGTCAGGTAAATCTAATTTGCCTCCCCTGAATCAGAGTGTATAGTCTTGATTCTGATGCTATTTCACCAGAGTTCTAAGAAACGAGATTCCGAAATCTCATCCTGCAAGATAATTAACTGTCACTCCAGCAAAAAAGAAAAACAGAATCGGAAAAGTTTCACAACTTAGGTTTCTGTAGCCCTTCTTTGTGATAAAGAAACACATTTCCTCAGGACCTGAATGCTTATCTGTTTGGCCATTTTGAGAAAACAACAACAACAACAACGATGTTTTCTAGCTGCAAAGGAGATGTTTACTAGCAGCTCGTGGGCATGAGATACTTACATATAACCCTTGAATCTGCTGAGGTGGTTGTTGGGTTTCTCACACACGACGGTGCTGTGGAAACGTTCTGGTTCGAACTGTACCCCCTGTGAGAGAGAGGACGTCACGGGGTTATTATTGTTATTATTTTTGACATCACGAGGTTATTAAGAGGGATCTAGTTTTAATAGGACCATCAGGGAGCTAATCATGATCAGAACCATTGCAAATAAGGTAATCCCTGATCTGCTGCATTGCGATAGTCGTAATGCATTAGAAGAAAAAGTTAAATCCTCATGAAGGAGGAGAAAATAGATGCAAATAAAATTTGGGTGCATGGCTAAGAAAAGTTGGACGGTGGCATTTCTCTGTCCTGTGCCTTTCAGGATGTGGAGCAGCATCTCTGGCCTCTGCCCGCTGGAGGCCAGCAGCGCCCTCCCTGGTTGTGATGCAGAAATGCCCAGGGTCGAGTTGCTAGACCTGCACTGTCCGACAGACCCTCCTGCAATGATGGGAATGTTCTGAGTCTGCACTGCCCCGTGTGGAGGCCACGAATGGCAGGTGGCTGTTGGAACGTGGTAGGATGGCTAAGGAATTGATTTTTAGATTTCATTCATTTTAATTAAAGTTAAATAGCTACATGTGGCTAGTGGCTTCCACACTGGGAAGCACAGAAATAGACGATCAAAAAGGAGATTATATATCATGCCATTTAGAGATAGCTACAGTTAATATTCTTGTGTGTATAATATTCCCAGGGTTTATAAATATATATGTACACACACGCACACACACATTTATGTATGGGCACACACATATCGTGATACATTTCAAAACAGAGATTTGGCAATCATATACTTGAACACATTTTACATCTTGTTAAAATGTTCTACATCCTTATTAATGCCTGCATAGAAACCAGTTGTCTGAATGCCACCGTATTTCACTTAATCATTTCACTATTGAACATTTACATTGTTTCCATTTCTTTTGCTGTTATAAAAATCCTGGGAGAATAGTTGCTAATAAAACAAAATAAGTAGCATTTTCCGCATGCTCATTTCTGCCAGACTCTGTGATGAGAACTTTGCACATATTATTTTCAAGCTCCCAATTATCCTATGAAGTGGGAATTTTAATTATCCCCTCTTTGGAGTTGGAACGACTGTGGCTCAGGAGGGCCAGGCTGGCTGCCCAAGGTCACCCCGGCATGGGGACTGGAATGCGAGTCTCACTGCAGACCGTCTGGTGTCACTTGCACAGTACACTGCCCCCGGTGACTATTCTTGGAGCAAAGTACTTTAAACACGTCCCTGGTTCTTTCTTCACTTTTCTTCTTCCTTTGGGTAATTTATTTGTATAATCTTTCATAGTCCAATGGAGGGAGAGGATACAACTAGGGGTAGGGAAGTCTTGCTTTTTTAATTATATCGCAAACTGACTGCAACACTGCATTCAATTCCCGAGCCTCAGTCTCCTCATCTGTAGAATGGGGCCAGCGCCACCTCCCCTGTCCCTCTGGTGTGCCCCAGAAGACAGGATCCGTGTGGGGAAGTCGTGAGAGGGGCAGAGTGCTAAGCACATGAAAGGAAAGAATGCTAGAGGCGGGGCTGCACATGGTGCCGCCCCGCGTGCAGCTTTCAGCAGGGGGAGTGAATTTACAGCCGAGAGCTCCAAGGTACAGCTGCTCACAGGGGTGAATTGATTAGAAGAAATGATAGCATTTTCTGGCTTCGTGTAAATATACCATCCACCGGATCTGTGGGGACACCGGCATAAATAAACTCTCCAGTCTCTTGAAATAAATTACCCATCCAAGAGTTTCTAAAAATACGGCCCTCTTCCCTCCAGGTATCGATTCTTTCAGGGACAAACACTTGCCGAGTTCTGAGATGATGACAAATCACGCTGTAATTTGTCAGCTGCTTTCATGCCCCTGATTAAGCCGTGTGCTTCCCTCCCAATGCACACCATCGGCCCGTCCCTGGCTTCCTAAACCCAAACGCATTCCAGAAAGGGGCGGCCGCGGGGTCTGAGAGCTAATGGTCCTGCCGCTGTGAGTCCCCATAGTCGGTTTAATCAGACTTGTTGGACCCCCTCAATGGCCAAGTGTTCCTCTCTTGTCCCTCCAAGGGGCTTCCCAGCGACCTTCCTCCGAGGTGCTTTGCTTGTCTTCTGGGCTTGGGGCTCAGGTCCTCTGTCTCTCCTCAAGGAGGAGTGACCTGGCCCTTTCTAGCTACCTGTCCCCTGGGCACCTTCCTCCGCTCCTGAACACGGGCTATGGGAAGGGGTGTGTGGACCCTGCTGTGGCCAAAGACAGGCCCTCAGGCTCCGCTTGGATGGGTTTGCCGAGGCACACTCCTGGTGGCTGAGAGAAGAGACCAAGGACGGGGGGCTTTGCAATGCACCCCCAAACCCGCCATGTCCTTAATTTAATCAGGAGTTCTGATTCCCTTCTGATGCACTTCTCCAAGCCTACCTAACCAGCTCTTCTTTCTACACAGCCTCTTGTCTAAGGCACTGTCCGTGATGGAAGCCCTACTAGTAGCAAAACGGCCTGGGAGCCAACAGTCAGGGTACAGGCAAAGACAAACCCTTTGCAGAAAGGAGAGCAGGTGTCTCTGCATTCTTCGGGCCAAGCCTACCTACCTTGAGCACTTCCTATGTGCCAGACTCCTGTCCTTAAGTTCTTGCAGTAATCTGTAAGAGGTTCTGACAGGCGTGCAAAGGGAGGCTGCACTAAAGCCACTGTTTTACAGTTGGTAAGTAACGGAACCAGGATTGCAATTCATATAATTGGAATCCAAAGGCAATTGGAATCATGATCATCATCACTGTCGTTGTCATCATCATCTTTATTCCTCTTCCTTCTCCTCTGTTATTAGGACTATTATTGCTATAGCCTCCATTGAATGCTTATTTTGTGCCAAGAAACAACTAAGTATTTCATACGTGCTATTTCCTTTAATTCCCCAACAAGGGCCTGACTGGTCTCCCAATCATCCATTCATGCATTCACGCATTTCTGAATGCCCATGATCCCTGAACCATAGGGAAGGGAGAATCAGACCGGAGAGGTAGGTAATGGACAGCAAGCAATTACTGCAGCCATAAAACAACTCAAAGTTCCCAGTGTAGCTCATGTGTATGGGCAGCATTATCTAGGAGAGCGCAGGAAGTTCAGCCAAGGGTTGGTGTGTAACTACTCTCCAGGTTAAGGTACTCCTCACTGACCTATCACTGAGATATAGCAAACTGCATCCTCCCAGGCTCTCTGGGAAGGCCAAGGTGAAGCAGACGGCTTGAAGTATATTCCAGTAACCGGAATGGGCCGTTTTGCTTGCACTGGCCTCCACTTTTACTTTTCTAGGCTTACTTCCCACTGTTCTTCACAGCTGAATTCCAAGTTGGTCTGTACACAGGATCACATGCACGCATAAAAGTATGAATGATCTTCTGAAATTCTTTGGAGCGGATCACTGTTTTCTGGAGACTCACCATCCATTCTACTCCTCTTCCATTAACAAGCTTTTTGTTTCCTCTTGGGAAACTACCTCCCTTCCCTGGTTCGTACTTTCAATGGGAACATATGTCACGACGCCTTTGCCCACAAGACTCTCCCGCTGTGGGACTTTGACGTGAGTGGAAGGACTCCAGGAAGAAAAAACAAACGCGAGCATTAAGTAACTGTCGCTACCGATCTCTCCCACGGCGCTGTTTCCTGGGTCTAGTTTCTGGGAGCTGTGTCGTGTGCTCCTTTCTTCCACGCCCCCTCCCACCACGGTTTTGCATAATTCTGTTCTGCTTAAGTTAGATCATTTCTGTTGCTTGCAGACAAAGAATCCTAATCAACACAGTGGCTTACTCAGTTGCATGGGCATACCTGGGCCTTTAAAAAGTAACGATGTTTATTAATTTGGTAAAATTATAGTCCAGAAATAAATGCTGCCTCATATTTATTTGATCTGATTTGATCTTCCCAACTCTCCTGAGACAGGTTCAGGACAGGTCATTCCATTGTTTTGGAGAGGACACCGGACGCTGATTACACTAAGTGACTTAAGCAAGGTCACACAGCTCATGAGCACGCAGGTTTGTCTGATTCTAAAACGTGCGCTGTTCTTTGCTTGATGGAACCATTTAACCCTCTGGGCCTTTTCCATGATTTCCTGGCAAGTTTTCCATATTGACAATTCTCTTAAACTTTCACAAGCTCAACAGTTACACTTCTTAAGGACACATCTATCCACAACAGACCATTACAATCTCTCCTTCCTTTGCGCCTGGACAACTCTTAAATATCTATACCACTCACTTTGAACTTTTCTTACACTTTTAAGTGTCAAGTACCAAGCTGTTTGTATAAGCCAATTGGTAGATTAAGCACTGTAACTGGTCCTCAAATTCCCACATGCACCAAAATGTCATCTATAGACAGGATAAAAATAAGCCTCACATATACATGGTTTTCCAAATTTTTACATAGGAATTCTTGAAATCAATTACGAATTCATTTTAAAAAGCAATCAGATTCATAGCAACTTTTTATATTATTTTCTTAAATAATGGACTCTGAATGGGCAACTACTTTCAGGGAGGAGAGCTTAGAAATGAGGTGGCCTCCGGTTATCAAAAATTTTTTGACAGTCACAAGGGTCTTTATAGTTCATAAAATGGACCCATAGTCCTAAAGTCTTAGAGGATAGGAAGTGTATCTTAGACCAGTTTGAAAGCCATCCTTGGCCATTAGGAAATATTTAAGAAAGATGTTGTGAACTGAAAAAAGAGAAATCAGCTAAACTCTTTCCTTAAACACAGAATGCATTTATTTACTGAGTTTCTACTGTGACCCCGGGACACTTGTGGGAAAGGAGAGTTGAACCAGGGATCACCGGGCGTCTGTGCAGCTCTGAGAGTCTATTTCCCACACGGCCCTCAGGCGACATGACCAGAGGAAACACGCCCTCCCTCCCATCCCCACCCTACACAGGGGTCAGGGTGGCAATGCGGCCGAGGAAACCCATTTGTAGAGTGTTCCCATGGACTCTGCATGGACTGGGGGTGACAGGGTACACAGTCTCCGCCAGCCCTCGCAGCTGTGCAGGAG